TGGTGGGGGCTGGTGGTGGTTAAGGGGGAGGTTAGGTGGTGGCGTGGTGATGGTGAGTGGTGGCGGATTTGTATTCCGTCGGAAAGTTCGTATCCGGTGGCTAGAATAGCTCTTCCTACGAAAATATTCCGTCGGAAAATACTGTTCCGACGGAAAATGTCGTTTTTCCTACAAAGAGGTTTACGACGACCTATTCCGACGGAATTCCGTCGGAAACAGTCATTTCCGACGGAATTTCAGGATATTCCGAGGGAATATTTCCGTCGTTGATTGGCTTATTTCTTGTAGTGATAAAGCCGACAACATTTCTCAGTACAAAGCCGGATATGTTGCTCGAGGCTTCAACCAACAATCGGGCGTGGACTATGGTGAAACATTCAGCCCGGTTGTCAAGCTTGCCACGGTTCGCGTGGTTCTGTCTCTAGCAGTAACACATGGTTGGCCCCTCTGTCAACTTGACATAAACAATGCTTTTCTCCAAGAAAGTCTTTTCGATGATGTTTACACTGTTCAACCTCCGAGTTACTCTGACCCCAAGTTTCCCAATTATGTCTGCAAATTAAACAAAAAACAAGCCCCAAGGGCGTGGTACAATGAACTTCGCCAACATCTTCTTCATTTGGGGTTTGCAAATACCGTGTCTGACTCCTCTTTGTTCACTCTCCACAAAAATAGCAAGCTCATATATTTGCTTGTATATGTAGATGACATCATTGTCACAAGCAATGATTCCCTCTTCCAAGAAAATTTTGTTACTGCCCTTGCTGCCAGATTCTCCCTTAGAGACCTAGGGGATCTCTCATACTTCTTGGGTGTCGAAGTTATATCTCACCCACGTGGTCTCTTTCTAAGTTAGAGAAAGTATATTCTTGAGCTTCTCACAAAGGCCAACATGGATGAGTCAAAACCCACGGCCACACCCATTGCCACCAACCCTTTTCTCACGTTGCAGGGGGATCCTCTTCCTGACCCAATAGTGTACAGACAACTCATTGGCAGCCTCCAATATCTTGGCCTCACTAGGCCTGATATTGCCTTCACAGTCAACAAATTAGCACAATACATGCAACGTCCAACAACCCTTCACATGCAAGCTCTACATCGTCTTCTCCGATACTTGAGTGGCACCTCGCATATGGGTTTGATAATTCACAAAGACTCTCCCGTATCTCTCCATGCCTACTCCGATGCTGAATGGGCTCGTGACAAAGACGATTATATATCCACAACAGCATACATTGTATACTTGGGTAAAAACCCCATCTCCTGGACCTCGAGAAAGCAACGTACAAGGGCCCGATCATCCACTGAAGCAGAATATCGAGCGGTTGCAAGTGCAACTGCTGAAGTCCTATGGGTTCAAAACCTATTCCAGGAGCTTGGTCTCAAGGTTCATTTGTCACCGATCATATATTGTGACAATGCCGGGGCAACCTATGTCAGCGCCAATCCGGTTTTCCACTCCAAAATGAAGCATTTGGCCCTTGACTACCATTTCGTTCGTGAAAATGTTCAAGCTAGGAATCTACGAGTTGCATATATATCTACAAATGATCAGTTGGCAGATGCTCTAACAAAGCCTCTTCCTAGACAGTTATACACAACGTTGGTCTCCAAAATCGGTCTTTCCTCCTGGCCGACCGTTTTGCGGGGGCATATTAAGGAATAAATATATTCTCTCCTCCAATCATTCCACTAATTATGGGATTACATTTGACTTAGTTATTCTGTTTATTTTCCCCTATAATCCTGTGTATTCCCTTCCGTATTTATCTCCTCTCTTTGTATATTTATACGCTTGTTTTCTTCTGTAATTAATCAAGAATCATATTCTCCAAATTATCTTTTCTCTATAGTCGCCACCATCCTTACTCATGATCCATACACAGTTACTGTTGGGCGATACACCAAAGATGGCTAACTATTCACCGAGCACGAAAAGATGCTTAATTGGCCATTTCAATTGGAGAGTCTGGAAGTTTTACGTCGCTTAATTCCTCCGTACTAAAATCAAAGGAATAAACAAAGGGACATGGATTATATATATTCTTTTCCATTATACTTGTACACCATCCAATATGCAGCCCCTTTTAAATACACGGACCGAGTAGTTAAATCAAATGCAACGGGAATATCTAGTTTAATGGCCGGTTTTCATTGTCCAAATATCATTATTGAGTGAATAAACTGCAATCGAAGACGACAATTTTTTATCATCCTTCTTAAAAATAACCACCCTAAAATCATTACACGAAGAGATGAACCCCAATACACCTTTGACGACGTCCAAAATTGGGCACGGTGAAGTGTCAAGGCCTTTCTTATAGAAGGGTTAGACAACATCGTTATAATACTGTTTAAATGACAGTTAGCACACAAGACGGCTTAACAATAGCAACCCGTGGCAGCTCCCCACAATGTGGTACGATACATTAGTCCTAACACGATGTGTTAGTTTTCTAAAATTGAGTCTTGTACGAATGGTAAATGTACTTCCCCTATCTCCATAACCATATAATTTAGCGGGATGAATTGTTTCCATGACTAGTACATTCGTTTTGAAGCATGTCATGTATTGGTTTGTCTAGAGCAAAATCACGCTGTACAAGAAGAACAAATATGCCCTTGTATTGCGAGGAGAGCCTCTTTTTTATACCACGCAGTGCAACCAATGAACAAAGTTGCATCAAAAATTCTTGGGATTTTTCAAATGGTATCACTAAACTTTTAAAAAATCCAAATGATACCCTTACTTTATATTTTGTCCAACTAATACCATTAAAGGATTAATCTAATAGCTACAATAAGCTCACTGTTAATTAGAGTTACAGTTTAGTTAGATTGTTAAATAAAAGAGAATACTCCATATTAGTACAGTTTTACATATTTATTCAACTCATCCACCCACCATTCCACCAACATAAAAGAGTATACAAAGCAAATACGGAGTAAAAGAGTAAGCTCATTGTTATTACACGCTCCCCTATGCTCATCTTCTTCTTTTTTCATTCTGACATAAAAGTAAAAAATAAAAATTAGCTCAATTCTTCCTAATTGCAATGAACATGAGTACTATACTTCTGCTTTCTTTCTTTTTTTTTTTTTTTTTTAAAGTGAATCAATTAAGGTGATTGGTATATATAATTAGAAGAGAGGAAAGGGAGTTGAGGTTGGTTGGGGGTTACGGTGGTGGGAGGGCGTGATATAGACTGGGGTTAATTGGGTGGCTGGAGAATCTCGTCATCTATGCCAATAATTGGGAAGTTTAATCGTTCTTTTTTAGAGGAAGCAGTAAAAGGAGATTTATTTGGTTGGGAATTAAATATATTCTTTAATTAACAAAATAATTAAATTGTAAACCTAATCAACTTTTGTTAACAGTGAGTTTATTGTAGCTATTAGATTAATACTTCAATGGTAATGGTTGGAAAAAGGATAAAATTAGGGTACCATTTGGATTTTCCAAAAGTTTAGTGGTATCATTTGGAAAAGGAAATTTGTTAAAAAAAACCACCCTCAAATTCACCACTTTTTTAAAAAACCACCCCTTTTTTACGAAATTTAAAAATACCACTTGTAAAACACAAAACTAGTAGGAATGACCACCCCCTCCCATATTCCAGCCTGTTTTCCGACCTCGAGTCCACCACATTAAAAAAAATCCCAACCCCCTTCCCCTTCAGTCCTTCTGCCATCCTACCGGAAACACACCATCCAAACCAACCACCTTCTAGACCACCCCACCCAACCAGCTTTGTCGGCGAACCCCACCAAGCCCCCATCCTTGGCCTACTGCGAACACCCACCAAGCCCACACCTTGCTCGCAAAATCCCAACCAACCCCCATCGCTGCCGTAAAACCCCCACGCAACCTTGTTCTACCAAACGACCACCCCCACAACCTCCCTCTCTTCTCTATCCCCTTTGTTCTCCCTCTCGTGTTCCTTTCCTTCTCCTTTGCGCCACCCAATCCATATCCACCAAATCATTTCTTTTGTCTTCATTTTCTCTTTTCTCTCTTTTTGCTAGGGTTTTCTCTTTCGCCTACTCCACTCTTCTTCTTCCCCAATTTTCAATCAATTTTTTCCTCGATTAGGGTTTTCATCAGGTTAGAGTAGTTTAAATTCTTCGTATTTTGTTCGACAATGGATTTCGGTGGTCCTCGCAAAAGAGGCGAAACTTCTCTTAACGACAATGGCGGCTTCAAGAAATCTCGTCCAGGTTTGTTGAATTTCTAGGGTTTTTTTTTATGAAGTTTTATTGATGATTTGGAGTCTGGACTTGTTTTTTGTGAGCAGGGGTGAGCGCCTGGTGGGGTTCGCCGGTATGAGAAGTGGTTGAAGGTGGTTAGTTGGGGTGAGGGTGGTCCAACAGGTGGCTGGTTTGTGTGGGGTCACTGTCAGGGCTGGGGTTTAGGGGGATATTTTTTTTTTATTTTTATTGATTTTAATTTAATTTAATTTTGGCCAATAGAATAATGACACGTGAACTCTTTAATCTGAAAACAGGTCGGAAAAAGAGATGGGATGGTGATTCCTACTAATATTGGGTTTTGCAGGTGGTATTTTTAAATTTTGTAAAAAGGGATTGGTTTTTTAGAAAAGTAGTGAATTTGAGGGTGGTTTTTTAAAAAATTTCCTTTGAAAAACCCAAAATTCTTTTATAGAATTATACATAGGATAAATGTTTGAAAATTTTGGTTTTAACTATTCACCTTTCTTTTGTTACTTCATTAAAAAAAAAAAAAAAAAAAAAAACTTAATTGTATAGGCATAAAATTTGAGGGGAATTTCCAGGTCTCATACGGCATGAAATCAATGTTCATTCAAAAGCACCACTTTTTCATGAGCTCAATTAAAAGAAAAGGCCTTGAATTCTGGAGAATATAGCTAATAATCGGGATCATGTACTGTATGTGTGACCTATTATAGAATTATATTGAACTTTGACAACACACAAACAACATATTAGGACGACACTAGATGCCTAACAATGTAGTATGAAAGACCTCCAAACAAAATTCTGATGATCAATGAAAAAAGTCAGCATTGAAGCCATAACAGTTTAAACACAGAGTTCCTTCTTTAGCACGGACTACTAAAAATACTTTCAAAGTTCAACCAAGATATTAAGTATGACCCTAACAAAATTCAAACTATTCAATCTAAACACCAGAATCACTAGAAATGTAAATAGGGCTACAAAGAGCAGAAGCACACTTAAACAATAGCATTAGCAGCACTTGCAATTCTTGGCCATAGATCAGCACATTCCTTTCCGATGGGTCCTGTGATAGCAGATCCTTTCATTTCTCCCTTTGGATTCACAATGACACCAGCATTATCTGCAAATCAGCCAAAGTGCAACGATTAATACCAAGGTCCAAAGCAAACGAGCATAACATTGTACAAGAGCCACAACATAAGAACATAAGATCCTACTTGTAGAATTGTAAACAGAATTTTGAGATAGATTATGTACCAAGTGGAGTGTGGAGACTGGAGATAATATACAAGATCCTAATTGTACATTTACATTATATGACAACACCATACGTAAAATAGATATACCAGGAGACAGGTAGCACAATGCCACAGTCAACATCATGCTGTTTAATCCTGGGCAAAATTGCTTTATGCTTCCAACAAAATAAAGAGAGACCAACCAATATGCAGTCACTCTATTTTAGAATCAAAGAAGCAACTAAAGGAGATACATATTAACTAAAACAAAAGCAGTGGGAACAACACTAAAATTGCTTGATTATGGATGCTGCTACAACTTAATTATTTTCCTGGGCTAATTGAAACCAAATGGTAAGACAGTTACAGCTTAATAGCTTATTGTTCACTTTTAATATACACTAATACACCTACTTAACTTTTAGTTTGTATTAAGCTAACACATTGCTGGTTTAAGTTCGACAGTGATCTACAATCTAAAATTCAGTATTTGTGAAAATTCAACTGCAAAGATTGGTTTGGATGGATGAATTATGTGAAGTATATAGCTTAAAGGCTTGATAAATGAAATGAAAATTTAAAAAATGGGAACGAATTGTGGGGAAAAATCCTAAGACTACGAACACAATTCTTTGCATTGCCTGGGAAAAACTAAAATGTAAAAACAAAAGTGTAACTAATATTCATAACAAGCAAAAAAAATGGCTTCACTAGACTGCATGACAAGCACCAACAATATGCTCAAGTTTTTCATCCAATTGATTACAAAAACAAACCTATAAAGATGTACTAAACTACTAACCAATAATAGATAATCTTGCGAAAGGAGACAAACATAAAAAATAAAAATAAAAATCAACCAGAGATCAATATGCATACAACAAATCGCTACCAAATGACTAAAATGCTTCCATTATCCCACCACAACATTCCCTATCTTAAGCAGAATGAATAATCTCAACTGCACACAGCGTTGCAACAGAAAGCACCACTTTGTAACCAGGATCCCAACACAGAGAAATGGCCAAAAACACGAATCCACGACAAAGAACATTCGGAACAAGACCTCACCACATAAGCATCAACAAACTACAACATATATACTTGAGCTCTACCACTCAAAGAAGTAAACAATGAACAAAACCCAATACATACAAAGCTCTCATTTCACATTCAATTAAGTAAACTAAATTCAATCAAATGAATTTACATTCTTACATACCATAACAAACTATACATACAAACAATGCTAAACAACAAATACAAATCAAACCAATAAAATCAACAATAATCAAATTAAACTATCAAAAAAGCACAAATCAGAACAAATTAGAGAAACCCTATTCTTCAAAACTCAAAACAATTAAAAACAAAATACCCATTTCACAATTCAAAACCCCAGAAAAATACCCAATTCAACAATCAAAACGAGAAGAATAAAGAGTAGAGAGAGAGAGCAAACCTTCAAAGTACATGAAAACACCATCCTTTCGGCGCCAAGGCTTACGCTGCCTAACAATAACAGCAGGCATAACCTTCTTACGAAGATCAGGCTTACCCTTCTTAACAGTAGCCATAACCATATCACCAACACAAGCTGAAGGCAAACGATTAAGCCTACCCTTGATACCCTTCACTGAAATGATGTAAAGGTTCTTTGCTCCGGTGTTATCGGCGCAGTTCACCACCGCTGCCACTGGTAAACCCAGTGACATTCTGAACTTGTTCCCCGCCGATCCTCCGCGTCCTGCAAATCAAATCAAACATTGTTAGGGTTTTTCAGTTTGTAGAATTAATGTAAGAAATTGGAGATGATGATTTGAAGAAGATGAAGTTGGGGTTTTACCTCGCTTCGACATTGTTGCTGCTGGGTTTCTCCCTCTCTCTCCTTTGTTTTTGTATGGAGTGATTAGAAGGAAGAAGAGTGAGGCGTTTTATGTTAGGGTTTTTTTGTTTCGTGGGCTGAAATGTGGTGCGGGCCTTTTTGCGTTTTGGTTTTGGCCTTTTTGGTTTGGTTTTTCAATCACAGAAATTTGAATCATTTTGATCAATGGGTTGGGTACTTGGGTTTAGAGGTGATCATATGCCGGGTCAGAGGCTCCGGGTCAAAGGCTACCAAATCAGCTCATTAAGTTGGGTCAGGCTAAGGTTCGGTCCGAAAATACTTGCCTAAGATTCGTAGATTTTGACCGGGCTTAGCAAGTTTATCAAGCCGAGCCCAAAAAAACAACTAAAAATATTAGTTTATAGCTTGTCTAAAAAGAAAAATTATTTTTAGGTCAGGTTTGACCTGTTACCGTGTAAGCAATATTTTCCACCTTACTTGAAGACTTAAATACAACTGGTTGCTTCTTTGACCATCAAGAGTATAAGTTACGACCCAAGAAAATGACATATACTATAGTGGAACGGAAACTATTAAGATATCCTACCCAATCAACATTTGAATAGGCAAAAATAAGGATTAAAAAGTGCAAGAATAATGGAGTTCAAACAGTCTTAAAAGAAAACTAACTCAACTACTCAAATTTAATTCTAGGATCATCTAGACACATTTAATATGAGCATGAGAAGTGAGTCATGTGTCTGGAACATTCACAACTTAGAATGTAGTGTAGACTACAGATTGCTCAAGTCCTTTATTATTACTTAGTAGCAAACTTGAATAATATATTGATTTTAGTTCTTTTCCCATCTTGGAGATAGATTTATTTTTCTTTCGCAAGAATCTTTATCAATACTATAAGCTAAAATTTATTTTTCAAGAGCACTCGTCATTCTTATTCTCTATTATTTAATCACTAGATGGAAGCCCGTGCGATGCACGATTTTTTTATCTGAGATTTTTAATTATTTGATTTATTGTATTTAATAATTTCAGACAAAATCACAAAAGTTTCATATTTTTTTTTTACTATAATTTATAATGAATTTATTAAATATAAATAAATTTTAAATATGATATTTTTTCCGTTATATAAAATCTTTAATGTGAAATGATAATCTAATATTATATAAATAAAGTAGGCATTTTTCAAGAGCATTTGGCGCGCCACATAAGCAAAGGTATTATTTCGACCAATTAAAAGTTAGTTTTGTATTTTATTTTAGAATTAAAAAATCCACTTGTCACATAAGCAAAAGTGACGAATGAAATTTAAATTTTTTGCCACGTATGTAAAAAAGACGAATAAAGATTTATTAAGATTTAAATTATTTTAAAACTAAAAATTATCTTTTTTAAAAGATGATCTTTTGATATTAGGATTTAAATTAAAAAAAAAAAACTATAAATTATACAATTATTATATACAAACACTTTAAAATTAAATATTTGAAAAAGGAAAAATATGTTCAATTTTTTTTAAGAAAACGTTCAATCAATTTTATTTTTTAAAAAAATAAAAATTAAAAGAAATATAAATTATTAATAATTAACTAATATTCTTCAATTTTTTTTTAAAAAAAAATCAATATTCTTCAAAAAATCTAATATATATAAATAAAGTAGGCATTTTTAAAGAGCATTTGGCGCGCCACATAAGCAAAGGTATGTTTTCGACCAATTAAAAAATTCCAATGGATAGATTTGATTTTATATCGCAACAATTTTTCATTTCTTGGTAAATATATTGATTTATTTTATATAAATGTAAAGATTTTATTTGTATTTAATAGATTCATTATAAATTATAGTAAAAAAAATAAAAATTAAAAAATTTAAATTTTTTCTGAAATTATTAAATACAATATATCAAATAATTAAAAATCTTAGATGAAAAAACCGTGCATCATACGGGCTTCCATCTAGTTTTTTAATAATTTAAATCCTAAATTATTATTCATTGTTTTACCATATCTTTCATTTCGATACAATCACCAACCTCGTCCACAACCAACCTACTACATCAATGGATAAATTAAACCGTGAAATGTTAGCCAAACTGAAATTGATATAAATTAAATCTCTACATTTATATAAAATAAATTAATATAGTTACCAATAAATGAAAAATTGTTGCGATATAAAATCAAGTCTATGCATTGGAATTTTTTCATCATCTCCAAAAATAACCAAAGCCATCTATAAGTATACAACATCTAATTGTATGTCATTACATAAACAAATAATCGTTAAGTATCCTAAATAAATACAATTTAACTAATAATTACAAATATAAATTTATATATATTACATTAGATTAACACCACATCAACAATGTTACTATAGCAGGGATAGGTTGGGCAGTTAAGAGTATTCAACAGGGCAATGCAATGGACGAGGGTGGAAAGCATGGAGTGGCCGCTTCAGCCATTCAATGTGAAGCTTGGGCTTGCCTAGAGGCAATGAAATGGGCCCGAGCGAAAGGTAAACAAGGAATTCTTGTTTTATCTAACTCAATTGGTCTTTTGACCAACTTACAAGGGAATCATGGTAAGGATTATTCGATATCTTGGTTACTTAAGGAGTTAAGAGTATTGGGGGCATCATTTCAAAGGTGCTCGATTTTGAAGGTACAGCGTGATCAAGTCCAAAAGGCGAACGACATTGCTAGAAAATGTCGGACTAACCTTTTGAATTTGTTGTAGGTTTTGTTTTAGTTTCCTTTGCTATTGTCAAAAAAAAAAAAGTTACTATATGGTTAAAAATATATATATATTTATATATAATTGATAAATGCAAACTTAATTACAATTTTAAACAAAGTAAGTAATTTATGTTCGGATCATGATATTCCAATTCCAATTCCAATTCCAATTCCAATCCCAATCCAAATATAACAAACCATCCAATAGTTAATTGCTCTTGAGACTTTGAATGTTACATCATCCAATCTACCAAAAGACTTCTCGGTAATCTTAGTTCTTAGACCCTAAAAAACGACCAAAACACAATTGAAATTTGAAAACCATTCTCACAACCATGTCCACTACTTTCCTCCAATCTCCACCATTTCTCACCACCAAAATCACCACCACTAAACCCACCAATTCCCAACATCTCCGCCGCAACTTCCGCCCTATAAACTCCGTCAACCGCCCCACGACACCACCAACTTCAACCACCCCAAACAATGTCCAAACTCTCCTCACCAACCTCACTAAACTCCTATGGTCCAAAACCCTTCCACCCCAACTCCTCATCTCCACCGTCCGATCAATCTGGACCACCACGTGGCTTCTAATGATGTCCCAACTCGCCCCTTCTGACCCCACTGGTAGTTACTCAAGACCCACCTCTCAATTTCGCGCCAAAATCAACAACCTTTCCCGCCATAACCTAACTATCCTCCATCTCTATGTGGGTCTTCCTTGTCCTTGGGCTCATAGGACCCTCATTGTTAGGGCTCTAAAGGGTCTTGAGGAGGTGGTTCCGGTGTCGGTAGCATCGCCGGGTGTTGATGGGTTGTGGGTTTTTGATGGGGTGATGGGTACTGATGATAATGCAAATGGGTGTAAGACTTTGAAGGAGGTTTATAAGCTTAGGAAAGATGGGTATGATGGGAGGTCTACTGTGCCTATGTTGTGGGATGTGGAAAAGAAGGAGGTTGTGTGTAATGAGAGTTATGATATTGTTCAATTGCTTAATTCTGGGTTTAATGAATTGGCCACGAATGCGGGGTTGGACCTCGAACCTCCCTCGTTGAAGGGGAGGATTGAGGAGTGGAATCGCGTTATTTATCCTTATGTGAACAATGGGGTCTATAGGTAATCAGCTATATATGCCTTGAAATTATATATGCTATAGGAATTGTATTATTAATTGGTTGATATACTTCTTAATGTTCAATGATGGGGTCTATAGGTGATTGTCTATACTTGTATCTATAATAATTGGAAGTTAATTTGGTTTGCTTATTGTGTTATTGATAGACTATTGTTAAATTGAATAATTATCTGATTGATGATCAATGAATTTAGACCATTTAGTTGGCATTGTTTTGTGATTTGTATGTACTGTGACTGGATAGAATGCATAATGATATTAGCATGATGTATTTTATGGTAGGTGTGGGTTTGCTCAAACTCAAGAGGCTTATGATGCAGCTGTGAGTGACTTGTTTGGCACACTAGACACGTTAGAGGATCATTTGGAGCATTCCCGATACCTTTGTGGAGAGTCATTGACAATTGCTGATGTCTGCTTGTTCACTACCTTAATCAGATTTGATCTTGTTTATAATGTTATGTTCAAGTGCACAAAGAAAAAGATAGTGGAGTATACCAATCTTCATGCATATATGCGAGACATTTATCAGGTAGCATTACTCTTTTCTTTTTCATTATTCGTTGATTTTTTTTATGCTTATTTTTCTGGTATAGTATAGATCAGCCTTTTTTCCTGATACATTTTTATGCATTGATTGAACCTATGCAGTAAGATATACAAGCAATGTGTGTTCTTTTTCACTTCATTGTATTTGAATTTGAATGGGGGCATAACTTCTTAAGTTCTTACTTCCTGATTTCACAAGAGAAGAATAAGTGTCAAGACTGTCAACTTTTGGCAATTGATGGGTTTGTGAGTTCGTGTAGATCAGAGTGCTTGATGTTTGACCCACTCAGGCAAAAAGGTTCTACATGATCAAAGTTTAAATACGCAACTTATCAAATAGATATTTGTGCTCCTTTAAGTCAAATGAATGGTTAATGAGTTTGGCTGCGTACATCATAGTAAACAAGGAAGATACTAGATTTGATTGAGAAAGTAATTAGGTAACCAAGCCTAGCAAGTCCAGGCATTTTGGTTTAACCACCACCAATGCAGCTTGAGATGGACAATCTATCAGGGTGATGATTTAAGACTCTTATTCAATTTGTGGAAACATGTATGTGGGAAAACTTGGAGCCTGGACTCCTCTAGATCTCTGACTAATTTTTCTGTTCATGTGTACTTCAAAATCTATATTCATCTCCTCAAACAGGTTTGATCAATGTGTTTTCCTGCCATGTTCACAACAGCCAAAATCTAATATTTTGCTCAACTTCTTAAAATAGAAATTTACCCATGCATCCAATTAATTCTTCTAGCGAGAATGTATTTTGAAGGGGAAACAGCTAGGATGGCCAGTGCACATCTAAGATTGAATAGTGATGCAAGAGCACCTACCCTAAAGGTTTACTAAAGACCACTGTTACGCCTGTTGCTTAATACTCCCTTCTTCCCAAATAGATTGCCGCATATACTAAAAATTGATGTCCCTAAACCCCATACCCTATCTGGTAAGTTTTCCTACTTGCACCCTACTTGCTCTCTCTATCTATCTCCTCATCAATAATTGTCCCCACCCATGTGCACTAAATTTTAACTTGGTTCTTAATAATTGGGTTTGGGGTAATTTTTTAGGGAATGAGAGAGTACTCTAGTTACACCTGCGAGTTGCGCATATGCTGCACAGCATGGCCATGCTGAGTCATGCTGTGTATATTTCTTACACCCCATCATACCACAATATTCATTATGCTAAACTAACATTTGAAAATTCTGTTAAATGGTTAGGGTAGTGTTTATGTTTTAGTGTTGGTTAGCTTAATGGGATCTTCCTAATTATATGCAATAAGGTGATACTTCATTAGCTTGTCGATGAGTGTTGAATGAAGTTATTCTCTTGTCTCTAGATTAGTTGGGAATTTGTGACCTATCCTTTCTTTCTGCTGCCGCTTCTTCTTCCTCCTCTATTTCGGATAGGCTTTGAAAGTAGAAGGAAGGTTGGAATGCCAACAGGTGTCTGTTATTGAATTCATCTGACCCGATAGTGCCCATTTTGGGAACATACAGTGCCTAAGTCACTGAATGGGTATCCTCTATTTCCATCTACTACGATAAATAAGCTTCAAGATCGTAGTTTTAATTTCGGTTTATTTGTAAAATCGAATATATATATAAACAGAAATAAAGAAAATAAAGAAAGAAAGGAGTCTCTCTCTCTCTCTCTCTCTCTCTCTCTCTCTCTCTCTCTCTCTCTCTCTCTATGTGAGAGGATCCTTTAAGCTTCTATTTTGCTCAATGCTTGATATGTTAAAGTTAACTCTTTAGTGTGAATTCTGTGTGCTTGAAATCATAGCTTAATTTCTACTTATTAAATAAAAGAATAAAATGCTACTTCTCTTCCTAGCCTCTCTCTTCCCTTCTCTTGTCTTCCTTATTTTTTCTTTCCTTGAAATCTAAATAAGTGTAAGAGTATCTATTGCACTTATGAGATTTATATGATGATTTTAAGTTGAAATTGGCTAAATCCTACGCCCTATGGAGTATAACAGTAGCTCATACATCAAATAAAGAATCAATTTTAGCACCCAGCCACCCCCCCCCCCTCTTTTCTGATAAATATATCAGCTCAGGCTATAACATTTCGAACCCAACTCTATTGAAACCACTAGGCTGAGAGAAAAATAATATCAACTTCACCTTGAATACATTGGCTAGGGTCTGAAGAAGTGAGCCTATATCACAAAAACCCATTACTTTCAAGTCCAGCTAATAAACATTTCAGCTGGTTATTGCTGTATTATTGGTAATTTTAATTGTTCAATTTTGAATGTATAACGTTCTCGATGAGAGATTATGGTATGTTGGTGACCTATATATGCATTAGTTATGCAAAGGCTTTACAGTTATCTCCTCAGTGAGACACCAATACACCATGTCGGATTATGGACACTGGATAGCAGGTAGGATCATAGGGGTTACATGATGCAAGATAGCTCAGTCTTCATAAGCAAGTGAAGAGAATCTAAATTTTGATATGTCCTGAAGAAGTAGATGTTAACTAATTTTAATGAGGACAATTAGAGATGAGAGCTATGGAAACATATAAAAGAAACGAAAACGTGGAAGTTGAGGATTTCAAAAACGTAATTCTTATAAAAATCAGGAAAGCAAATTCAGAAACAATCAATCTATATTAATTAAAAAAATATAAATTCTCTTGTGTGTTATCAACATTTATATAATTAAGAAGTATAAGAAAAAGTTTGTGGGTATTTAAAGTGATTAATGTATAGTAGAGAGAAAAGGTCGTCTTGGGACTTTAAAGATTCATGTTATGCAAGGTCTTGCCAATCATTTTGAGTTTCCGAGTTGACCTTCATGAGACTTCTTACGTGTCTTGGAATGAGAACCTGCTTCGAAGAAAGAATTCATGGTGTCCAGAGTCTCCAGACATAGATTCAGATGCCACTATATATTCTGTCTGCGACTGCATCTTGTCCAGATTAACTAACTATTTGAACTGACTTAGATTGACATAATTTTGATGAAATTTAAATAAGGAAGAAGAGCTTTGATCGATATATTCAGAAAATTACAGCAAAACAGAAGATAGATTTCAAGGAGTGACTTGGTAACTCCCTAGAACCAAGTACTTTTCACTCTATTTCCCATGCTCTCCGCCTCTCTAATCTTCAGTATATATAGAACAAAGTCAACAAACTAACCCCTTGCTTCCTCTCGAAGCTAATCCTAACAGATTTATTATGCACTACCAATATTACCCCTCCGTTTAAGTCGGTTTGTTGCATAAACACTTAAACAGGGATAAAATTAGATTAGTGCACCTAGAAGACATAATAGATAATACTTTCTTAAGAATCACCAGTATGCTATGCTTTACATGTTTCTTTCAAACCACTTACGTAAGGCAATTTTGCTCAAACCTTTTAATCAGTAAAATTCTTGTGGTCATGCCTTAGCTGTACCCTAAGGCATGCAACAAAAATAAGGGTGCAAACTCCTACTCCGTACATGTAACTTGACATTTTTCATTTCTGTAATATAGAGCAGTAGAACACCATATTGGATGTCGGTGATTTGTTGTTAGTACATCACATCAAGACTATTAAAAGCTATAATGGTTATACTGAACAAGCAAAATGATAACGTAGGTCTTCTTTTTTTTTTTTTTTTCTTTTTTTTTTTTTTTTTGAAATATATGGATGCGATGTAACAACTGGATTGTGAAAATACTGATATGTACTTTCTGAGTTCTATAACTACTAAATTGGCTGATTCTTGAACATATGGTCTAGCTTTCTATGTTCAGAAGTGCACATATTGATAATCATATCAGCTTAATCATTACTTGTATGATCAGTTTGGAATCATCATTTTCTGCTGTTCTTGCTTATCTTTCATTCATTTTTCTTGTTTTTCTATGTCTAGGGAGGGGGAGGGCCGGAGGGGGTGATCTGTGCATATACTAATGCTTATATGATACATTGCGCGCAGATTCCAAAGGTCGCAGAAACTTGCAATTTAAATGCTATGATGGATGGCTACTACAATTTCCTGTTTCCACTGAATCCAGGAAATATTCGGCCTATCATGCCATCTGGTTGTGAGCATGAAGCTCTCTCAAGACCACACAATAGGGAATTACTATCATCGGCTGATGAAAGCTTGCAGACTATTATTTCTTGATTAATCAGAGTGTAAAATGTGAGTATATCATATGACTAAACATAGACAATGGATCTTGTTAATTCTTTTCTATTGATTGTAGTGTTATATGCATTAAGTGGGGTTTTAGGGGAGTGGAGGTGGGGATGGAATAGTTGAAAGAGTGAAATTGTCAATTGTGTATAGTTGTAATTTTTTACTCTGCCCTCCTAACTCCTTGAGCCATTGTGTAATGACCTATAATGTAGACTTTGAGAGGAATTATACTAATGAGCAAATTCTTAGTTAATTTTGGGATCAAGCAGATAAGTTATTTATTATATTTTCTTATTTTTTAGCCAGTTTTTGAATTTCAGGTTGGAAATTTCTTATTCATCTGGAGACATTTTGGCAAATTTGAAGTCTTGAACTACTCCTTAGTACCAAGGCTTTTTTTAATTGTATGCTTATTGGAGATAAAGCTGCTGCAAACACCTAGCCGTATATTCAGGTATTTCCTTGAAGATGCCATGAGTTTTATTTTCATGTTGCATTAATACGATTTGAGTGCTTGCTTATGCTGGTTATTGGTAAGGACTTGAATTATAATTGTCTGATAATGGTTAGTTGAGGATATAGCCAACGCATGAATATAAGGATGCCTAACAACCCTCTCACAACAAAGAAAAGGACTTATTTCACACTATGTATGTATAATGATGTAAGGGTTAGAACTTAGAAGGCTGTATGTTGGTGGATTTACAATTACTAATGCCTTGAGGGTGAAGCATTGTGAGGCTCAGTGGAACATAATTTGATTAAAATTCAGAGAATAATTGATGCTGGACTAGTAGAATTGTTTCACAGGAGGAAATAGTATATCATATAAACATGAAAAGGTTATGGAGTGATAGAAAAACTTACTCAGAGAAATCTGAACAATATTCTCATAATATGTTCTGTCTTGCTTGCTTGTTTATGTTGGTACTCTTTGCAGAGCTACGCAGTGTTTTTTAGTGATCAATTTAACCCTCATAAAGCAGTATAAACCTTCACAATTACCTCCTATCACTGCCAGTATCTTTCATGGTAATTTTAGAGGTGTGACTCAATTTCTTTATCTTTTCATTGACACCTTTTGTGCAAATTGATTTTGTACCATCCTGTTTCCAATAAGTACAAAATCTTCTTCTTTTAGCTATTTCATTTGCCTCAAAAGTATTTTCTTTCTGGTGACCATGTCTGTTTCATCTATGTGATAATTTTTGCCTTGATTCTTTTGTGCTGCAATTTCATGACTCACTATTGCAGTTATAAGGCTGATAAATCTTCTTTAATTTATTTGCTAGCTTCTTCCATTTTTAGATCTTTGACCGTGATCAAATTTGTGTTCAAAAGTTACTTTTAACCTGCAATTTGGGGTGGGTTTGGTTTTCTTGTAAAAAATAATATGTTGTTTTATTTAATTAGTAAGATATATTATTGCCAAAATCAATCATACAAACAAGAATCCATATGAGGGGACAAACTCAAGGACCCCCCTCTCAAGAACCTGCTAACATCATACAAGCATAAGCGTTGCAACACATCACAAATTCACAATAATCAATCTTACAGCTTATCCTAATGATTACAAATCAAACTCTATCAGCTTTGGACACCATTATACCTAAGATACTACTGTAATATCTATTCTTCACTGTGCTCTGGACACCTTTATACCTAAAATACTAATAGTGGGAAATTTTACAACACCATATAGCTTCATCTCTGACATTTGAGTGTGTACATTGTAGCAGCCACATTTGCTATTTCAACTTTTCCCCAAAAATGAGATTTCCTTGCTCTTTTACTGACCCATCTCAATTCTCAAATTGAGATAGAAATCATTAGTCACGGCCTTAATTCCAAACCATTCTTTGATCCTCTGAATGCACTGATTGATTTTTGTATTCAAGAATAGATGTTTGTTTGACTCACTCCTCACCAAAATGCCACAGCTATCAGTCTCACTGAAGTGAAGCTTAAACGATTGTTGTCTAGTCTGCAGTCTTCCAAGCATAGCAAGCCAAACTATAAATCTATGCTTGGGCTTAATAAAGTGTTTCTATGCCAACTTAAATACGACCTTTTCTCTGGCCCCATCAGCTGTGCATACATTCCTGCAATATTGTATTATTATAACAGCTATAAGCACACAATGCCATTCCAGTGTTCTCCTTAACCTACACCTACTCTTCCAGCCCCGACTAGAACTCTTTGAAAATATTAAAGTGCAATGAAACGGGAATATTGAAGTTGATAAGCTGCTATGTGAAACAGGCATGAGAATATTGAAATTGAGAGCTCCTCCCCCCCACCACCACACGCAGACACAAAATTTACTGATGCATCCTGTTATGAACTGATTTTCTGGCATAATTTTTCTGATTGAAGAAAACAAATGAATAAAGATGAAAGCTTGGAATTTTGATTGATATTGGCAGAATTTGATACAAAGGTGATAGGTTAATAGCTTGAGGCTATTACTCTCTTGATACCTTTAGGTCATCACTCTCCTAGTAACTTGAGATTACTACTTTCAACCTATTTCCTCATATACTATCCCCTATTTATACTAAGGCTAAGGACTACTAACCTAAAAGTACTAGACTTCCCAAATTACCCTTCCTAATGTTATTCTATTACACATTCTTCAAAAAATGGATGTTCTTAATTCTTATTTACAAATATCAATACCAATCTGATATTACCATATGAAAAATTAAAGACACTGTTGCCTAGGCAATGAAAGCCAAAAGCTCCGGGTTTTATAAATAGTAGCTTGGAGCAGAAGAAATGACCAACTGAATTGTACTTAATGTCCATTTTGCTTTTGACAAACTAATTTATTGAGTTTTATTTCAGACTGCATCCTCCATGTTTTCTAATTTGAAGCCAACAAGGAAGGCTATTAGGCATATCCGCATATGGAGGATGGGAATAGTTTTCTACTCTCTGACAAAACAAGCTAAAGTGCACCTGCTTAACCATAGTTTCATATTTAATTGCAATCTCTCCTAGCTAACTTGGAGCCAACTCAGGCTGATGAGAACTTGAAATGCTAATAAGTTTTTATTAAAATTCTACTAGGACCTTCAGGATGACCTACACGACCTCTATCTTTTTGAAACCAATAGTAAAATTCCAGGGGATTCTGGCGGTCATTTCATACATCAGTATAGGCAACAATTGAGACAAAATTTTAGGCTCATATAAGGAGAGTCAGAATTCCAATTGGCTGTGCTCATTTGATTGTACCTGTAAATATTGTTGGTTGTTTGTATGTGCTAAGTCTTTCACTTTTAGAACTATGTATGACTGATGTGTTGAATTGGAACAATGGAGTTTATATCCCTTTTTGGGTTGTAGCCAATAGACCCTAAATATCGGATATGACATATCTCAAACCCACCATATGCATCACTAATACTCTAGCCCTGGGAATACATGAGATATGAATGGCAACCTCGTTGTTGGGGTGGGATTTTGTTGGAAGCATTTTCTAATTTAGTGCCCTTAGCTTTTGTATGTATGCTTATATGGTAAAGCAGGAAGTGTCACAAATTTTTTAGGAATCCTGTTTCTTAATCAACCATCTAATGTAAGGTGAAGAATTGGGATAATGGAAATTTCAAAAAGGAGTTAAGAGTGACATGAAATAGTGTGTTTGCAAGAGCATGTAGCACTAGATAGAAACAGATGGAGAAAAAGGATCTTGGTGGATGACCACGAGTGATAGATTCTAGGTTCATGCCGACGACCTCATCCTTTTGACAATAAAGCTATGTTTTATTTGTTGTTGGTTCTCAAATGGGATTTCAAATATTTTTATCTGCCTCACTTCTCCTTTTTCTGTCCTCCTTTACTCTTAATCTGAGTTGCTCTATCTATGCAACATCTGTCATTATTGGAATAGGCAAATTCTAGAATGTGTAATCTTAGAATGAAATGAAGGGATTGTTGCAAAACAGCAGTCATAGTCCAGCCAAACCAACCTTGGTGATGGGGTATAGGGACTGGGAATGGGAGTTTAGGGATGGGGAGTGGAAATTGGTGGTGGACATAAAAATAGTCTTATGTCCTTGTTTGAGTACTGTTGGAAATAGATTGGGAATAACTAACAAATTTACCAGTTTGCCCTTCTAAATGCTGTTCTCCATTTCCTTTGTTTAATCGCAAAAGAGCTTTCTGATCTATCCCAATCCCCACCCCCCCCCCCCCCCACCACACACACACAGAGTATGAAAATGGTCGAAATTGAGCCCTCCGGGCATTTCCCATTCCCTTCACTTGTTTTGTTCCCAATCCCTTCATACAAAGTACAGACAAGGGACTTTGTTCAATTGAGATTATGACTCTCAATCCTACCCTCAATTCCCATGTAACAAACACCCCCAAAGTTACTTAAGGTGGGGTGAGGTGGAATTGTATCCTGTTTTTAGAATAATTCACTATCGCTATTTCTCTAGATCACTAGTGGACTACTGGTTGACTCAAGCTCTAGTATCTTCTGCCCACCTACTATTATCGGCTTTTTTTATTTTAATTATTTTTTTCCCTTTTCTCTCTCTCTTTTTTTTTTTTTTTTTTTTTTTTTTTTTGGGGGGGGGGGGGAGGTCACCTGTACGCACCATATAGACCATCAGTCCATCACTAATCATGGGAATAGTACTTGGGAGTCAAACGGCAATCTCATAGTTGAAGTTTGAAGTTCGTTTTGTTTCAGCTCCTTATTTTTGTCTTGTTAATCTTTTATGGTTAAACAGGAAGTGTCCCAAAGTTGTTCTATCTATTGTCTCGTTAAGATTGGATCATTTTAATCATTCTAAAACTGCTGGTTTTAAAATGATCCTATTGCTCTATCTATTGTCTCGTTAAGACTGGATCATCATTAAATTGCTGGTTTGTTGCTATGAATTGCTGCTTATGTAACTTCTTTCCCAATTTTGAGTATAAACTAGTATTTGGGCCTGAGCGATGCCCCGGTCACTACATTTTTTCTTGTAATTAAATTTGTTATACATATTTTTGTATAAAAAAAATAACATAAAATATCACATACCTTTGTAGTAAGACGCTCAATTCTAGAATTAGAGCTTGCATGTTCAAATCTTGTAGGGAACTTTTTTTTATTATAAATGCATGACATACAATGAAAAACATATGGGAAAGCCATGTGGCGTTGAGTGGGTGACGTGGCGTAATAAGAAATTGAGTGAAAGGGTGATGTGGCATAATGAAAGGGTGTACGTGACACATAGACTTTCTTAGGAACGCCTTTTAATACATTAGTATGGATTCACAGTCCGACTCTTTAACCTTTTTTTTTTTTTTAAATTTAATATCCTTTCCTCTTATCCTTTGCTTCTATTTTGATTAGCTCCGTCCATAGGGATATGCTAAGATTGTCATAACTAGGCATGTGGTAAACTAGTCAAGACAATTCTATCTTTAGTGGGAATGACTAAGTGTCTCCCCCTTTTAGTAAAAATCTTATGTTCCTTGCATGTTCCAACATTCAGAACACATTATGTTGTATGTGTAGACTGTAGAGTTTCCCTCTCCAAATCCGACATTTAATTACTTCTGACTCTCTTGACATCGCTGTGTATAAGAAATACCTTTCTGATACATCAGTAGGCAAGATATTTAATGCGATTATTGTTATATTATTCTGATCTCAAAACATCTTGGTGATCTGTTTATGATTGTATATCACACTAGTCATAATATTATTATCTAGGGTTGCTGTTTGTGCTTTGTCATTGATTATCTATTGTTCACAAACAGGTTAAGAATCCTGCTGCACCTATCGATCTGAGCATGAAGCTAGCACATTAAAAACCGGAGAAAAACTTTTCTACTTCCAGCAAAGAGGGGTCAAGTAAAAAAAAAAAGGGGAAATGGCTGCCATGATACCTGAATTTTGCAAGGATGTCTTCAACGAGCTTCCAGACTAGTTTGGTACTGTACAGAATCGACTTATGAGCATCAAACTTGATGGATCAGTTTGATAGATATTGTTTTTACAAGCATGTGGTGGCGACTCTCTCTTCACGAGAGAGTGAATGATTTTACGTTAACAAAGAGGGGCTTGAAGGACATATAAAAAAAGTGGTGTCCTCTGTACTTACACTGGAATATATATACTGGGTATTAGATTATGAGTAACTCAAATGATTGAAGTGTTTGCCATCAATTAATATGAGAAGCTGCCTTAATCAGCCTGATATACAATTTAAGGGGGGCAAAAATTGGCATAATTTGGGATAATAAGGGTAAATAAACAAGGATGTTTGCATATTATGCCAATTTTTGCGCCCTTAAAAAGTTACTGTTCAACCCCTCACGTAATTGGCATAATTTGCAACATTGCTTTATTAGCAGATTTGTTAACATAGGTCCCTCTTTTTATCTCTCTCTATCCCTGGAATCTCCCTCCTCTCCTTAAATACCTGTTCATCCCCTTACGTTGTAATTAAAAGAGAACGGGGAGTATTTTGTACATGACTTTATTTTAAATGGAGTACAAAATAAATGCATCAAAATCCCAACCACTGCAGGTAGAATCTGAACAGGCTTGATTAACACTGAAATAACAACAATCCCAACATCCTAATGACCAATTTTCATGGACTAATATACAGTTTCTACCAGAAACTATTAGCTTAGGCCAAAATAAAAGATAGCTGCACATTTTTATAAGACCTTAATGTCTAGCCAAACCTAACAGTTAATTCTGCAACTACTTAGCAATGCATTTACTAGTCAGTCAATCCAAAATGCTATGGGCATGCATGCCCATTGATCACTGTACATAAAGACAAGACAACGCTGCTTTGCATTACATATTCACTTGTCCTAAATATTACGGTCTAACCACTAGGTCAGTCAGTTTCAGAACAGCAAAATTAGAGTCAATTGATCAAATATCAGCAACAGATGATGTCACAAGCTAACAAGCTCACTCCTCGGGTTTTAAACAAGCTTTTATTGTAAAGTTAAGGTAGACCTAGATCCTGCACAACAAGAAAAACAAGAATCTAAATGAAAAAAAGCATAGCAAGAGTAAGTTATTTTATATGACAACTTCACGGATGAGCAAGGGCACATCTAAGTATCTAACCACATCAACTAAAGCAGTCACTAACCACAAACAGAAAGGCAATATGAAAGGCTCAAAATTTGCCTGCTGTTCTCATGGAAGAAGTCATGTGATGCAAATGTGCAAAGCAAGGAATTGTTGTACTGATGACCACAATTAAATCTAGTGTCAATAGTATGACATATTTATGATTATCCTAAATGCATCAACAATACTGCTCATCTTAATTGCAGAAGAAAACACAAAGGAAAAGATTAACCCAGGAAATTCCATCTTCAACAAGCTCATTATATACTTGTAAAAACCAAAGTCATGGCTCATGACCACTGGTTAAGAAGCTTTCAGGATTGGTAATAGTTCAAGTCCAACAATTTGTTAGTTTTACTCCTTTTAGAAGTGGAAAACAGGTTGTTTGATTTAGGACTTCAGGAGCAGGTAGTATACGGGTAAGGACACTAAGGAGACTTTAGGATTGCTGTTCAGGTGAGGATAGTTTAGGTTCATGAAAGACAAGTGTCAGGTTGATTTTGTGTCTTGTATAAAGTGGACTGTGGGAAAAGAAGCAATTTTCACTATGTTTGATTTCAGTCAGGTCAATATAGGACCAGGCCATTTTCAGGTCATCCAATTAGCGGCACGACTTAGTTTTGAGTCATCCAGCTTCGGGTACCAGATCAGTTTTGGCAGGTACAATTTTAAGTACCTTCCTAATTAAAAAAAATACCATTCATGTATCATTTCTTTTTTAAAAAAAAGTTAATATACCATAAAGGTCTAGGATCAAATGTTCTCTAGACACTTATATTATAAATATTTGAAAAGACAGTTACAAAATATATGTTGGATGACTCAAAACTTAATATACTACCTCCGTCCGAGGTTATTTGCAACAAAGGACAATATTTCGGACTCCTAGGCAAAACTTTTAGGGTAGTGTTAATTGAGTTTTGGTAGGTTTAATTAATGAGAGAGAAAGGTAAAAATACAAAATTACCCATATGATGATATATATAAACTAAACATTTAAGTGTTGAAAAATAAGGGTATATTTGGTATTTGTAGTGTGAACACAAATATTTGTAGTGGGTTTTAGGTAGTGGGTAATAGGTGGTGAAGGGGACCACTAACCAAAAAAGTGGGTAATAGTGGGTAATTAATAGTTAAATATTACCCAAAAAGGAAAGAAAAAAATTTGTTGCAAATAATATAGAGCACCCATTTTAGGTAAATGTTGCAGATAATTGCGGACGAAGGGAGTATGTTGTTTGAAAAAAATTATCAAAATTTAAAAATTAAAAAAAATTATCTTATTTTATTAATCTAACTTTTTTAAAAAATTTATTTTATTTTATTTTTACTTTTTTGGACCAATCACAAGCCGCCACGTGTCAGTTTTTAAGTTAAAAAAGCGAAAAAAGCCAAAACTAACGTTTTTTTAGCGGAAAGGGTACGGTAGGTGTACCGCCAACCTTGGGTGTACCACTGATAAAGAATAATTGAGTAGGTGTACTATTGAGAAAGCCCGAACCTTGGGTGTACCACCCATTGATAAATACCCTAATAATAATAATAATAATAATCTTAAAAATTAAAACATTAAATAAATTTAAAAAATCAAATTAAATTATCAAACCAATAAAATAATGACACGTGTCCCATATAACCTATTAATTAGGTTAATAACCGGTCATAACTTGTTTTAAGCGAAAACCCTCTAAAGGTTATATTATTCAGAGATAATCAAAAGGTTGACTTATCTTTGGCGAACCGCTTAAAAGTTGTATTATTTTTGATAGTTTTTCCTAAATATTTTTCATAAGTTGTAGCACAATCCATACATTATAGAACAGTCGCCTGATTCCAACAAAAAAAGTACAAGTGATTCGAAAGACTAATATAAAGTCCAGCTAAATAGATTGCTCTTATAATGAGGCACTAAATGAAGATAACTGGCATATTTGCAAGGGTCCAGCCCAAACCACCAGTGCACATCACTCATGCTCGAAAGAGGATGCCCAATCCAGCAGCAACTTGATAGCTGAGAGGGAATGCAGTTACTGAAGTTTGTTAGGGGAAGGGTAATCAAGTAATCTATGAAGAGTTTCTTATTTTTGTTAGCTGAGCTGTAGTTTGTTATGCAGTTTGTTATGAGGGAATATTGTAATAAATAGATTGGGGGAAAGAAGAGTGGGGTATTCAGAAAAGTAGTTAGGTGAAAGTTTTGGAGAGAATTCCTTCCTCTCGAAAGAAGGAAGTTGTATTGAGGTTACTCTGATCTTAATACAATCTATCTTGGGGCTATAGTTTACTCTATTTATTGCTGTGAATTCTCTGCTCGATTCTGATTCCTAGCAATATTTAAGTACTGTACTTAATAGAGAAGACTCTCAAAGACAAAGTAAACTTGGTACTTGATAGAAATCAAATTGCACCATGAAATAGATAGTATGTACTTACTGTTGGATCGTTTCATGTTGCGACAAAAACTGCTGCCACAAAGACACCGGAATGCTTTGATAGGATGTTCACCATCATCAAAATCAACACCATAATCCTGTGGACACATTACCAATAGGTGCTTATGAGACAAAAAAGGAATCAATAACTATTACAAAACTTATTGATAGTGAGAGAGCAAAGGTAAACTAAGACCTAAAAATACTAAAATATCCTTAATCTAGGGTAGCTGAAGCATACAGAAAAGAATGAACAGATAAAAAGCCTTCACAGCTTTCTACATCACGAGAACTCGTGATAATCAGGCCTAATGAGAGCATGACTGTCATGCTCATATCACTAGACAGCACACTGATACAGAGCAATGTTTTTCACATATTTAAAATTGGAAATAAACTTAATAATGTCATAAAAAGCACAAGTATGCAGCAACAGTCTGCGGATGGAACATTTCAACCTTTCAGGTCTACAGACTACTATCTACAATCTGAACAAAGATGAATTACATAGGAGAAGATGACTCATACTGCTATAGGTACTCAAGTGCCACTTAATTCACTAGAAATAGAGACAGCATTTAGCTTGTCATAAAGGAGACACTCTTTGAAATGATGAGTATAACTAAACTTACTGAGAATTTCAGAAAGTTATATGAATTTAAAAGTAATCAACAAAAAGCATAACATGGTGACCAGCTAAAATTTATCTAGTCTAAAGCACCAATACTATGAACCACAAGTATACAATCGCCTGATGACTAACTGAGTTTCCCTTAAAGGGATTCCTATATTTATAAAGGGAAACCATCAATATTTACACGTTGTCACTAACTCACCCATAAGGTTAAGGGTATAAGAAGGGTATAAGGCCTGCTTTCTCCTTTACCGACATCCAATAGTGTAAATTAGCTTTAATGGTATTTTGTATCCTACACTGGCATCACTATGAAATTATATAAAAGTAAATTCATCCAATAAAAAGGTCTATCAAAATTTAAACCTTATAATAGCTATTGACACGTCAAAAGAAGACTGTTATTTTCATGCACCTGAAGACGTTAGTTATGAATTTTGCTAGATTGTTCCAAGTGAGCTTTATGCAGTCTCCAAGACCATTTCTATAAATCAATACAGATACAAAATATCAAATTTTTAGCTGTTTTTGAAGATGAATCTTACATTAATTTTTACATCACATCAATAAAGTCTTTGAAAATTTAAAGGTGGAGTAATTTCTCAGATCAAAAGGTATATATGAAGACATCTTATATTAACAAATAGGTACATAGAATTTCAGTCTTATACGCAATAATTTGCAGATTAATGTGGCTCATAGTTTTAAAAAGGTAAGCAACTTATTATACTTCCTTCGTTCCATCAATATTGCAACATAGGGGGGTGAGCACAAAATGTTAGTGCTTAGAGCACAAAAAAAATTAATTTGTTCATTTGATCGCAAGCATTAACTAAAGCAACAAGTATTGAAATATAAGGGTATAGGGTATTTGCATGGATACGTTTTAATAATTGTGAAACTTCATAATGAGGTTAACATTGCAATATAAAAAATAATAATAATAATAATAATAATAATAATAAAAATAAAAATAAAATTAAAAATTAAAAATTAAAAAAAAAACAGAGGATGTCATTCAAAAAAGTTGCATAAATTATGTAAACACGAAAATAAAGTACTTCCTCCGTTCTCTTTTAAATGCAACACTTTGACTTTTACTATCCATATACTCCACTTTGACTAGCTTTTCTAATTTATACCTAAGGAAAAATATAGTCATGTGAGAATTTGTTAGATTCGTCTCAGTTTATAATATTTTTATTTAATTTTTCCATATTTGTAATTAAAGATATCAATGACTTAAACAACACATTGGCAAACGTGAAATGAGAAGTGTTGCATTTAAAAGAGAATAGAGCAAGTACTTAAAACCACAGTAGTCATCATGAAAAATGCCTTAATTTGCAAATGTAACATAATTCATGAGTACATGGACTGCTGAGTTAGCGAGCACTACAAGAAAAACCACGGGCACACTAAGCTGTCAAATCTTTGGAATGCATAAATTTTTCTATTCAGAGTCAAAACACTACCTCTAGCAGTATTAGTGTATAACAGTATACACCAAATAACCTTGAAAGTTTAAGCTGAAAAATCTCATCTTAAGGGATAAGCAAAAAAATAATTTCTTTTGCGACAACAATTATATAACTCAATACAAATGTTATTGAATCATGTCATGTTCTCTAAGTCAAGGCAGATTTATTGAAACCATTTTATATGATGACTTCTACTATCTTCCTAAAAAAGTATTACTGTCTAAATGAAGCCCAAACTATTGTGTACATACCCATGTCAGTTCTTCGAAAGCATTAACTGCTCTTGTTGTAAACAATGCAACCTGCACAAGAACAAAATATTCCTTAAGTAATTAAATAAACAAGCAGTTTCAGAAACTTTAGTACTATTTGCTCCTTGTCCCAAAACAATCTTCTTGTTGCACAGATTGGACTATGCACTTTTCCATATAACCTTCATGATAAGTCATGTTCTCTATGTCTAGACAGGAATATTGAAACCATTATAAGTATCTCCCTTTACCATTTGCACTGCGTACTCTGCATTTTCTTACTACCTTTTCTCTTTCTATCACATGGATCCTTTTTCTCACAGTTCCAACACTATATATTAATGCCGTTTCTCTCCCTATTTCTAATTACTATTCACATATAACCATTTTTCTTAATCTCCATGCCAATAGCTAAGAGAAGAATTATTTTGGGACAAACAGAATATTTATTAATCCTAGTTTCTATAACAGCAAGAACAAGGACCAGAATCCAAATGACTCTTCAAGTTCCATACATGATAGTAGTGGTGATTAGGGGTCTCCACTTCAACAGGGATTTCAATCAAATTTGCATCCGAACACCTACAGCAACATGAACATAACTCAAGTCATCATTCCAGACACGTGAAAACCAAAGGAGAAACATGGAAATCAGAATATGATAAGTGCAGAAAAGATGACAAGGCTATAATTAAATGAAAAGGAGAGAGAGAGAGAGAGATATGCTGAAAACAGAAGCTCGTGTATGAGCTCCCGTACATCAACTCAAGTCACTAATTAATGCGCTCAGCCACTCACAACATGCTAATGTCATATTCCCCCATCCACTCCATATGACTATATGAGTAGTGACAACTATCTACAGCCAAATGCATGATCAAATCTTCAAATGCTAGATTATGCAAACAAATTTGGTTATACTCAAGCAAATCACCCCCCACCCCCCAAAATAACAGCTCGGAATCATAAAGTTTGCATGTTTTATATCATGATATGATTGGTATTGATCAACCACCTTTCTCACATAATGCCAGCCACTTTATCCAAAATTGTCAGATCAGGAAGCTGATTATGAGTTTATTGAATCAATAAGCACTAGCTTATGCTACAGTTGTCCATTCAACAACACAGACACCACCATTGTTTCCCCAAATATAGCAACTTAGAGCTAGACTTTAGTGGTTGATTTAGAGCATTAGAGTTTCATATCAGAATCATTAACAACAGAACTGACCACCTAAGCCAAGATATGAGCTTTCCACTTGCTGGTAAAGAGAATCAAAGACCAGCAGTGTAATAATTGCTTCTCTAGGCAGTTCGGCAGTAGTGTGTAATAGACTAACATTAGGAAGGGCATTTTGAGAAGTCTAATACTTTTAGGTTAGTAGTTCTTAGCCTTAGTATAAATAGGGGATAGTATATGCAGTAGGCATTATGTGAATTGTGAGGAAATATGTTGAGAGTAGTAACCTCAAGTTACTAGGAGAGTGATAACCTAAAGTTATCAAGAGAGTAATAGCCTCAAGCTATTAACCTATCACCTTTGTATCAAATTCTGCCAATATCAATCAAAATTCCAAGCTTTCATCTTTATTCGTTTGTTTTCTTTAATCAGAAATATAAAGCCAGAAAATCAGTTCATAACATAGTGACATGAATTAGAAATGTGGATGTACAGGGAAGTTCACTAGTTGATATAGTAATTAGTAAGCACCGGACTGATAGAGGTATAGTGGTCGAGTGAGCAGGAAGGAAGGAAAGAAGGTTGAGGACTACTAAGCATTCCAAAATAAATATTTTCGTTTTTATTTCTTCTAGATAGATGAATGGGGTACCCAAATGACATTGTAACCAACGAAAGAAAAAGGCAAATAAATCTCAAAACCCATGGGGAGTGATCATTACGTAAAACCCATAGCTGAAATAGATAACAAAAGCTCTCTTTTCATTCCTTTGCATTCCTATTTTAACCAATGAGGGTTTGAGTGATCTAAATCCAAATAACACCACCAGCCAATCTACAAACTTATCTGAGACCTTAAACTGCAAACTACAGTCATTTTTTCATTGCTGAACAATAAGAAACTTCAAATAGCTGCCTAGCCAATCATGCAAAAGAATAGCTCATAATGCTCATTCAACGAGTTCCATTACCACATTTCCTTGTCCTATGTCAACGTTAACAAACATCAATATGGATATCTACTATAGATTGTTAAACATGAAAACTCCGCTAAAGAAAAATGAGAGGATAAAGCACAAACAAATCAGGAATGAAAAGAAAATGCTATACAGGAAATAAAGGTAACGTGCAAGGTGGGGGGACACAATAACTCAACAAATCAAGAGACAGCTCTCAGAAAATTACCTATGATTAATAAACCTTGCCACATTTCCATACAATGTGGCATCCAAACAGAGGATTTCTGATTCTTTTAAAGCTCTTGTACCCCATTCCGTATCAAGTAGCACTGCATATGAATGCTTATCATTGCTTCTTCTCAGATTTCTCTTATGGAGCTCTGTACTAGTTAAGATTTCTCCAACGTATTCACAAACAAAAGTCCCTTTTGGCAAATTTTCCAATGTCCTCAAACCCCAACCTTTCCCTTCTGCAGTCCAGAACACCTAGACAAAAGTTCTCAAAATTGATGAAACAATGAAGAAATACAACACCAAAACATCTTGCAAAATGAGAAACCACACTTCTTATGTTGGTAAAACTTTCTGTTGATAGCTTTCCCAAAATATGGATAAAAATTGAATAGGTGAAATAAATTCCGTATATGTATGAACTATGAAGCTAATATGACATGCAATGCAATATATACATTTTTTTTTCCCTTGTGTTTTCAGAGTGCCACTAACTTTACCGGACTAGTGAATAATAAATGATCACAGAGGCATAAGCTAATTAAGCACACTGCCGCAGGCCAGATGACAAGACAATATCACCGTAAACAATCTATTATACTGCAAACTTCTTAGTTAAAGAGATTGGGCACAATATCAAAAAAGTAGTTCAATTTCACCTGCAAATTATGGCTTATGCCATGTTGTATAACTTTATTTCCACAGTGCTTGTTACAGCCACACTTAGTCCAACATTCTTTAATGAATGTGCGTCTCAGGTGACCTTTGCATGGATCAAGCATATCCTCATTCTTCAATCGTTCAAGGGGGCACTCTTTACAATAAACAAGGTAGTCTTTTTGAGGGTTCTGAACCATTGAAATGCACTTGTCCAAAAACTCTTCCTTCACAAGACCGTCTGAATTGTATGAGTACTTCCCGCCATTACGTCGAGCACAATTGCATGATGAGGACAACGCCAAGCAGTCACCAAGGCAAGAATGGCAACAATCTTGATCGCCAATTTGAGCAAGAGAGAAACTCAGATCAGCATTGTGTGAGATGACATTTTGGGGAATATAATGAAACAATGGTAAAGAGTCACAATTTGATTTTTCTACTGAAACTTTAACTGCTTCTATGCCTCTTGAAATGTCACTTGTGACATCAAGAATTTCTAGAGAACTGGGGATGATCTGCTGCTGCTGAACAACCACCAAGCTATTCACATTAGAGTCTGTAACATTAGAATCCTTTTCAGCACAATGATTATCAGTAGCATTTATATCAGAATGCACATCTACTGGTTTGCAATTGAATGCTGATGTTGGATTTGAAGCATCAGGTTCTGTCATCTCAGTTGTGGCAGCCACATTATCAGATGATTCTGCATTTATGGAACCATTTAATTGAAGGCAGCCAGTTCCATTGCAGTCAATGACCCCAGCATCCTGTTGACTAGACCCTTCTTGATTCATATCATCAGCTTTTGTACCCAGCTTTCCAGCACATTCACAAAAGTCCTCCATAACTTTCATAACAGAAAATTCTGGATCCGTGATTTTGTACTTTGTAAGACAATTATCATTAACTTTCTTTAAGACAACTTGTAAATCCGGAAAATAGAAATCATTCCCTTGGGGACCAGGGTTGCAGCTCAGAGATAACCTCACCTCTCCAAGAGATGAGGCTGCAATGTCTATGTTAGCTGGAGTTCTCTTAGAATCTTCAGCTTCCTGAATATGGTTCTCTTGAGCATTTGGTGAAGCCAATGTCCCCAGACCTTTATCAATAACACCCACAGATTTAGAGGCCCTGGAGTCTTGACCATTTTGGCTGCAAACTGCATTACCAGAATTAGAAGGAACTTCTTGACGCATAAATTCTGCCTGGCTCCCAACTGGGTTACTAGAATTTGAAGGAACCTCCTTGTGCGAGCGGACTGTTCAATAAAAGCATAAATGAATCATACTATATCAGAATTAAACAAAATCTATAATACAGAAAAACCCCCCAAAACACTTATTGCACGGATATACAGAATAAAGACCTAACTTGAGGTGCATTTATTTCGTGTTACTGCACCAGATACAGCCATTCATGTGCATGCAATTCTCACGTCACAGCATATGTATCAGTAACTGTAATATACAGAACACTTCAAGGGCTCTGTCATTCCACCACTTCACACTAGGGGTTATTTTCTTTATTTTTTACTTATTAATTTTTTTTTAGGGGAAAGAGGTTTCCAGTAGGAGGTTCAGTTTGTTTCGGGCTAACCAATAGCCTTGATAATAGTTACAAAAATAGTTATGTGGTTAACTGCCTGGCCATGAGCAGTAATCTGTCCAGATAAAAGTATATCAATTGCCAATGGTTGAATTTGATGATCTGATCATATAGGAATAAATGAGAAACCAAATAAAGAAATAGTATTTGTCTTCAATATTCAAGAGTGTTAGTAGAAGTCCTTAAGTCCATTGTGATAATATAAGATAGGCATTAAAAAACCCACTGAAAAACTCCTCTATAACTTGCCTCCAAATAATTAGTAAGCAGACTAAGCACTATCATATCAGACATTGAAGTCATTAAACAATCATGGACTGACCTCGTAAACACCAAAAAATCTGCCTTCCCTGTGATCTCGTATTAGCACTTCATAGATAAATCATATCCAAGAGCATTTAAGGCTTAGGTCCATATACTAAAGCTTTTATAACCATATTCTATATCTTTTCAAACTTATCTCCTTCATTCTTCTCTTCCAGATTACCTCCACCCATTATATCGCCTAGCTCAGGCACCTGGCATAAATTGAATGACTTTTGCAATAGATCTCCAGAGAGAATTACACTATGACCTCAAAAAAATCTTCAATTCCACTCCCAATTGTCAAGGATGATTATACTTAATCATCATAAGTGAGAAAAGATAAAAGAAGAGGGAGGGGGGAAGGGGGGGAAGGGATGAGTTAAATAATACATTGTACTAAGTAGTGCATTCACATTGTAAAATCTGTTAACAAGATTATGGATAGCTATGCCAAGTACTGAAGACAAGATCTTTTCAAAACAACAAGAGCCATAATGTAACACCCCGTCTAAAACGAAGGCGAGAGGTTAGCGAAAATAACGTCGAGACGGTGATGTCACTCTAAAGGTTAATAAAAACTAAAGGAAATAGATAAAATAACTGAAATAAATATAGTAAACTAAGAGAAATCCCAAATGATCATGGAAAACTTTCAATGAGGCAGAACAACCTCAAATTTGATTAGCCCAAAAAGAGAAGGTGTGAAGATAAAAGAAGAAGGTCTATAAATTAAAACTGCTAAGGAACAAACTAAAAACACTCCTCTCAGCCCACACTCAACAGACGCTACTCTTCACCTACAAATAACATTTAGGTTCCACAATCAGTGGGGAGTAACTAGCAGTTCTCCCAGTACTTGTAGAAACACAAAGCTAACTAAAAAAGCTTAGACACAAGCATAAAACTTAACAACAAGAAAGAACATTAACTCCATCAAGAACAACAAAATGAACTCAAAGTATAAATAAAACATGGAAACATGACTATAATACAAGACAAACATGTATATTAAACAACGTAAAAATATTACCACAAGATAACAGAATAAAAATAACAGCACCCAAAACAGAAACGGTATCTCACATAAACAATAATTAAAACTTATTAAAGTTCCTTCCCAAAATTAGTAATATCTTTAAAATAATAATTTTTAACTCCTTGAAAACAAATTGATAGTAAGGCAAGCATATAAAATATGAACACCGGTGAATCCCACGGCCCGTCTGTGTCTAAGAATGGCAAAACTCCCGGTTTTCCTACTCGAATTCCGCAGCCCGAGTAATTCCGAATGACACCAATTAACCTAGGAAATTACATCTCGAATTCAGCAGCCTAAGATGTTAGCATGTTCCAACTATTGAATTCCACAGCTCAATGATTGTCTTACACTCACAAACCATATAAAATTTGTAAACATACTTCTTAAAAATCATCCAAATACATTTAGGGATCATCAACCCCAATTTAAAGTACTGCAGATCATTACTTCTAAGACCAAAATTCATTAAAAATCATTCAAAAGAGTTTAACTTTAAAATCATTCAATAATATACAAAACTACTTATATATCATAATAAGGTGTCACTCTTATTGTCTGGATTTGGGTACAAAGCTAATTATAACAAAATAACACAATATACTCCGTACACAACCCTTGGCAAAGCGGTGCTAAAAATAGTGTTATTCTACTTTAAATCACAATGACGTCGACAACTTACTTAATAACCAAAAATGGCAGCAGCTATACCACTTCATTAACACTTCATAAACACACCCAAGTCACCCCAAAATGATAAAATAAAACTTTGACATATTAATCCACATATTAGGCAATATATACATACAAGCTAGGCTTAAATTCATGACTTTAACATGCTAAAAACAACATGACAATGCAACAGCCCCTAATTAGAATTACAGCAACATATTGCACAACAAATTCACCCAAAACCAACCTTAAATCCACCATTAACCTTAGCCCATTAACATACAGACTCTAAAAACATCATAGGTCAGGATAGGGACAAGATTAGGCATAAAAATTAGGCAATACATCGCTTAAATTCACTCATTTCACACGGTTCACAACAGACCTGGCAGCAGCACCTCTTCTTAGTTTTAGGCATATAATCACATTAAAACTTGCCCAAAATATGATAATTTAATTTAGGGATAAACCTAACATGATGATATACCATTTTAGGCACAAAAACAAATCAAATCAAGGGAAAATAAAGCTGTAAACCCATGGCACATTGACAGCAACTGCAGCAGCGTTTTTAGACTCTCTAGGCCTAAAAACCATGATAAGATCAACCTATTCACATCTTAAACAACCTAAAAATGATCCCTAGTGATACCTTGACATAATCACTTCAAAATAGGCTAGAAACATTAGCCAAATATCATGATAAGCAGCCCCAAACTCACGCACAACCTCTATAGGAAGCAGCTACATTTCCTTTTGGATTAGCACATGTTATCACCCACAAAATCATTCATAAACACCATGAAAACATCATAGAAACATCACATAATAACTAGGCATAGATAACAAACTAAATTAAGCATGGAAGGAAGCAAAAACCTGTCAAACATCATTCATAATGTACGCATCATGTAAGTTGATTCGAAACCGCAACCGAAACTCAAACTACAATTCCTATAAACGCATCTAATCTCTCCTAAACCCAACCATGATTTCTAAAGTAATGGAAAAATGCTAGTTACCTTGATTGGAGAGCAAGAAAAAGCAGATTAAGAAGAGAGGAAAGATTGTAATTTGAATCCATCCGAGCCGCTCCAAAGTCACGCCTCTTGCTAGCCTTGATTGTGCTTGAATAAGAGGGTAAAATACAGCAGCAAGGACCCATGAAAATCCCTTGATGAATACAAGAAAATTTGAGGGAATTTGAGAGGAGAAAAGTGTTATGAAAGTGCAGCAAACTCACGCCCAAGAAGCGTTATTTTTGTACGTAAAAGGTAGGGAATATCAAGTGATTTGGACAGCATTTAATTGGTGATCGAATGAGATTGATTGAGGGTGTAATTAGGGGGTTACTAAGGTGGAAAACTGAGTAGCAACAAGCCCTTGTACAGCCGTGAGAAAGAGGAGAAGATGTGCTCAAGCAAACCATGTGATTACCACGCAAAGCCCTAGATTAAGGATGCTAATTGGACTAGTTTAGGAGGGTTAACTAAGGACTATCATGGGCTTAAGGAGAGCAAATAAACAAGGTTATACAAGCCTAATTGGACGGTTAATTACTAGCCCAAATTCTATCCCGAAACCAATCCTAATTGGCCCAAATTCAAGGAGAAGAAACGAATTAAGAAGCAAATAAAATACACATAAAATAACAACATTAATAATAATATCGATATTATCAACAACAGTAGTAATAAAAAGAAGAAGAAGAACAATAATAATCAATAATAATAATTTAATCAATACGCAAAATAACATATAAAGTTTATCTTTTAATCGAAATCAGGAAGAAAAGACGAAATAAGTAGTAGTTAATAATGCATATATATGTAATAATTTAATTAATATTAATATTATCAAAAACATCAAAATATTAGTACCAACTAATTAGAAGTTCGAAATTAAACAAAAATCAAAGTATTAGTGAAAAGTGCGCGTAAAACCTTAGTTTAAATTATGGGTTGTTACACATAATGATGCTGAAGGCAATATAAAACTTTAGAAGATAACATTTTGTGGTCAACCTAAAAAGAAAAGATTTTACGATGTAAATTCTAATAGCAACAAAACTTGTGTGAATCCCACTAATGGTGTATGCATTAGGAGTTAAGGACGACTGGACAAGTAATTCCTGTATAGCTTCATGGCATCAGAATTATAAGAGGCTACTGCTTACCCAGTATTCACACTAGCAACTATAACATTCATATTGAAGTCTTTGTGCAATGACCAGGACACAGGACAAGTGGGGGTGGGGGTGGGGGGTGGGGGATGGTACATCATAGCAACATTATGATATGACATAGCAACATAATACATCCACCACAAAAAAATGTACCGTTTGTTAGAACACACAAATTCTTAAAAGGTAGCAAGAGTAGTATAAACACTATAAATTTCTAAATTCCCACCGCAAAATTAACCTAAGCCTTGAATGATAGCAAACTTTCAGTATACTGAGAGGCCGAGAAGCATGAAAAGGAAGTATCTATAGAGTATATATATTTGGAAAATACATGTAAGCATTTACAAAAAAAAAGTTAGCATAATGAAGCAAGAGAATGCTATATACCTGGAGGCAATACAGCAAGCGGTGCAGGTGTCATCATGTCCTCAGTAAATGGCTCATCTTTGGGCTTTAACAAAATTGTATTAGGCTGTTTTTGCCTAGGATTAACAACTGGTTCAGCCCTTGGCTCTTTGATCTGGAGTGCTTGAGATGCCCGTTCAGGTGCAGTTCTTTTATCCCTCTGACTAACTTGAGGTGAAACAGGTTGTTTCCCCTTGTTTCGCGTAAACACAACAGGTTGAGGAGATCCAGTATAAAAACAATGATTATTTTAATTAAATATAAAAACCCTCTTAATAAGGGTTATCAATTTGTAATTGCTTACTTATTTTAATCATTAAGTATAAAAACAATTATTATTTTAATTAAATGTAAAAGCCCTCTTAATGAGGGTTATCAATTTGTAATTGCTTACTTAGCTTTGTGTTCCTTCCTTAATACGAAGTAATTATTAGAAACTTTGTTTCATTGTATAATATAGTGAATTTTCAGGTCATGTAAGTTTTCAGACACTTATAATTGTGTTATCTAACTTTTTGTTACAAGAGAACTTTATCTTTTTGAAAACTCTCTTTACCTTTGTTCTTGAAAGGAGCTTGATGTTTATTGATATCATAAAAGCAAATAATCAAGTTTCCAATTTGTGCATGTCGCAAGTCACAAATGTGGGCTCTGACTCTTATACTTCTTCGCTAAGTTATAATAATTCCATACTTTCCAAATCTCCATATAATTTTGATAATGATAAAACTATAGTAGTTACACAGCATGTTGTTATCTTAAGTACGAGTACGTAATAGTGTTTACATTGTCTTCTCAAGTAGAAGCATACATAAAATAACATGTAAAACTGGCATATAATGAGTTATGTTAGTCTAAGTGTTGTGATTATTGAGCGTTTGATCCACTCAAACATTCCGACCCTTTAATTATGAGTTAGGACAACTTGTCAATTATGTCATTCTAAAAAATTGCCTTTCTTTAGTTATAAATTAATTTTGATAGTTCGAAGCCTTATAACATTTACGTATGTCATAGTTTTATTTTGAAAGTTGTAAAGGAGTTCCTTACCAAAGTTAAATTACTAGACATGTGATATGTAGAAGATCAACAACGATAGTAAATTCACGAAAATAGTGCATAAAGCATTGCAAAAATTGATCTCAATCATTAAATCATATAATTATTCAAAAGTCACTAAAAGACCCAAAAAGAAAAATAAGATCAATTAGGGGTGTGTTTGAATTGAATCTAAGGAAGGAAGGGGTGGGGGGGGGGGGGAAATCAACTCTCAATACTTCACAATTTCACATGCAAATAAAATCTCAATTTTATAAAGTGTTTGGTAATTATTTCAAGGGTTTTCAACATAGCAATAGCAATGTGAGAGACTGTGCAATTGTGCATTCAATAGCAATAGCAATAGCAATATATGCAATCATGAAAGTATGAAAGCTTGGCTTTTGATTTGAAATGATTAAATATGTTTGTATGGAATTTTGGATGCAAATATGAAAGTATGATTTAATTGCTATAGAGTATGATTTAATTACTATAGATCATGTATTGATTTTATTAAAGGTTGGTATTGGAAGAAAATTGAAGGTAAGTAGTATTAATTTGGAGAATTATCCTTTGATTATTATTGATTAGTCATTACTCATATATATATGAAATTTTAATACGATTTAAGTAAAAGAGTTTGGTTATGTCTAAATGATAATGTTTGTTGATTTGTTCGACATTTGGATTTAATGAAGGAATATTTAATTGAGGGTCATATACTACGAGTATGTGCTTAGTGATCAAAATTGTCCTAACTAAAGTTAAAATGAGTATTGTGTAATTTTTATGTTGTGTGTTGCATTGTTCTTATTAATAAGTTGACTATTATATAAGCTACTAATCACGTAAAGTGAAAGATGAATAATCAATAAAATCGAATAAGTTGCTGAATATACGTCTAAAGTATCGATAATTATGGAGCCATCAATGAGTCTTCCTTCTACTAACTCCGTTTTTATTTAGTTGACACCATTCTATTATCACGCTTGCCAACACACTTTTTTAACGACTAATATCTCTAATTCTCGATATTGTAAAATTATAAAAAGTGGATATTTATAAAATATAAATTGAGACGATTCAAACAAGATCCCATCACTTGACTATGTTTTATCGAAGCTATAAATCACAAAAGCTAGTCAAAGTGTAATTTGTGAATAATGTAAAAATTAAACGGTGTCAACTAAAAAAACGGAGGAAGTATTACTTTGGTGAATTATTTGGTTTTATGAAGTTATGTGAGACATCATGCATTCATGCTAACTATGGGAATGGAGTCACGCTCATCCACCTTTTGCGCTATTATTATTTTGGTTATTTATTTCCTCAAGAAGTTTTTTGGTTTGGATATCCTCATATAGGACATATATTGCTTTCTTCAATATTTAAATTTAATTGTTTTAATCAGTTAGTTATGTAATTGGTTAATATGAGAATTTATTGGGGTGGAATTGTGAATGCCGTTTTATTTGTACTATTATTAATAGTGGCATGCTAGGATATTATACTATTGTCTATGTAGCCTATACGTACTAAGTGTTGTTGATTACATTTTTTTGTATGTCAATCATGACCTATTCAGCTATTCTACAATGAACTTGTGATGAACCACCTTTACACCGGTATTATTGAGCAGAAGTTTTGCACAAATATCTTTAAGCGATGCGATTCCAACATCATGCATGCATTGCCAATGGATGAAGTGTGGATGAGTATATAATCAAATTTCCCGTTGTGGTCATCATTTAATAAATTTATTTATTAAATTTGTTTAATTTATGATTTAAATTAAATCTTTATGTGAATGGTTTTCTATTGGAATAAGAGCCTTAAGTTATGGTTTTTGTAGATTGTTTAACTTTGGTTTTATTTTAGGGAAATTCTCTTTAGTAACCATGAACTTTTATTTTTGGTCAATGGTAAAGTCTGAAACTTTTGATTCATCAATGGTAATCAATAATTATTATTACTAAGCAAATGGTAACTTAAGTTAAACAATTTGTTAATTCCTTAACTATGGTTTAGCTATTGGACTGCAAAAAGACATAACTATCCCCCATTTAATTACCTCAACCAATTATGTCTAACCAATAATGAAAACAAAAAAGAAAAACCCGACCATCAGCCTTTACCATTGATTATCATTGATAATAAAAAATTTCAGACTTTACCACTGAGAAAAAAAATAAAAGTTCGTGGTTATCAGAGAGAATTTCCCTTTATTTTATTTTAAAGTGCTTATTTTAATTTGATGAATTTCTATTGTCGAATTCATATAAGCCTTATTGTTTTAACTCAAGGAGGTGACACATTAATAATTCTCCAAAAAAAAAAAAAAATAATTTATTTTGGTTAATTGGTTTTGAAAAAGGGGCTAAATATTGGGGTGTTACACACATCAATATATTCTCATTTCTATAATTAAAAAATTTAATAATCAATGATTGAAATCGAAAATATGAAATAGATAATGGTTAATATCATAATTCATGAGACTATATTAATGGATATCTTTAGAATAAACTAGGTTAAAATCCCGTGCAATGCAGGGTTGTTAAATATTTTTGACAATATTACAAAATAAAAAGTACTACATATATGTAGAAATATTTCATTTGGGTATATATGGAATAAATATGATTGTCAAAATGGAAAGAAAATATCTTAAGGTGTAAATAGTTAACTTAAAGATTTTACAAACAAAAAAAAAATTAAAAAAAAAAAAGCGAAAAAGGCGGAAAATATCTTCTGGACTGGACTCACACGTGCCAATCCAGTGGTTATTTCTTCTTCTATTTTTTTTTTCATTTTAGCGCGTATTCTCTGCAATATTTCTCTCCTCTGTTCATATTTCTCTGCAGTTTCTCTCTCTTCATCTTTCCTTTGTTTTGTTGATTTTCTTTAGTTGACAAATTAAATTTTGGATTCTTATCGGTTTTTGAGGTTAGTTTAAATTATTTTTGGTTTTAATCGCATAATTTTTGTTCATTAGTTGTTGTAATTGTTGATTTTTTTATGGTTTTTCATTTTCTATGTGTATTATTAACTTGTAATTCTCTACTTTATTTCAATTTTTAAGTGGAATTCTTTGTTTTTGTTGTATTCGTAAGTACATTAGTTTGATTTTTGGTTTTTTATGTTTTTGATTGTAATTTTGTTCATATTATATGGTTTCCTGGTTCATTGTGTTCATATTAGATTGAATATTTTAGGTGTTACTAGTTTTTTTTTGTTTTTCCCCCCCCCCCCAGTTTTTTCATGCATTTTCATTCAATTTGTTGTTGATTTTGATTAATTAATCATTCTTATTTTGAATTTTAGGGTTTAATTTTGAATTTGCGATGGTGAAGTTTAGAGGTGGTCTTTTGAATTTTCGAAGGAAACGTGGTTTGCGAAGCTCTGTTGGTGGATCTGATGATGCTCAAGGTTTTACCAATTTCTCTATTTACAGTTACAATTTCTTGATTTTTGTACGTTTGTTAAAGTTACAAAATTAGTTGTTATAGTTATATAAATGTTTGCTTAAGTTATGTTTTATGTTTTATTATATGTCAGATTGTTTTATAAAAGTTATGTTTATTATAGTTATAGTTATACTATTTTTAGTTAAAGTTATGTTAATCTTAAACTTCAGTATTGTGAGCTTGTTATAGTTATACAAATGTTTGCTTAAGTTATGCTTTATGTATTATTATATGTCTGATTGTTTTATAAAAGTTATGTTAATTATAGTTGTAGTTATATTTTTTTTAGTTAATGTTATGATTTACATTTTAATACTATTATTTTCTATAGGTGCTAATGATGTAAGCAATGAAGTTAATGTTGATGTGGAGAAGGGTGGAAAGAAGGGAGGTAGTGTAGAGGAGGCTGCAATAAAGGAGGTTGCAGTAAAGAAGGGTGTTATGAAGGAAGCTGCAGTAAAGGAGGGTGCAGTAAAGGAAGGTGCATCAAAGAAGGGTGCAGTGAAGGAGGTTGTAGTAGAGAAGGGTGCAGTGAAGGAGGCTGCAGTAAAGAAGGGTGCAGTGAATGAGGATAAAAGTGAGGATAAGGGTTCTGAGCAGGATGGAGGTGATGATGAGGAGGTTTCAGAAGAGAGTGGAGGTGATGATGAGGAGGGTTCAAAAGAGGGTGGAGGTGATGATGAGGAGGGTTTTGAACAGGATGGAGGTGATGATGAGGAGGGTTCAGAAGAGGGTGGAGGTGATGATGAGGAGGGTTCTGAAGAGGGTGGAGGTGATGATGAGGAGGGTTTTGAACATGATGGAGGTGATGATGAGGAGGGTTTTGAGCAGGATGGAGGTGATGAGGAGGAGGGTGATGATGAGGAGGGTTCAGAAGATGATGAGGGTGATGATGAGGAGGGAAGTGAGGAAGATTCTAAACAAGAAGTGAGGAAGATTCTAAACAAGAAGTGAGGAAGAATTTGTTGAGAGAAATAAATAAAAAAAATTGAGTGTGAAAGCAAAGAAGCCAGTAAAGGATGCTCAGCGTCCAGCTGAGAAAAATCCAGTAAAGGATTATCGCTGTCCAGAAAAAAAGCTAGCTAAGGCATCCAATAATGCTTCTGTTGAGAAAAAAGCAAAAAAAGATTATCGTCGTTCGTCTGAGAAGAAACGGAAAATGGTGAAGGACAATATCTGTCGTGCTGAGAAGGAGTGAATAAAGGGTGATCGTTGTCTGGCTAAGAAGAAGCGGAGAGTGGTTGAAAAGGCTGTCAAAATTGAAAATAGAAACAGACCGGATTCTGATGCTGAAGAAGATGAAGCTGTTGCAAGTATATCAGATAGAGATGATTCTGATTCTGATTTTGAAATGTAATTACCCTTTTCTGAAGTTTTTGTTATTATTTCTAAAGTTATGGATTATGCTCTTAAAGTTATGGATAATGCCCTTAAAGTTATGGACATTGTGTTAGTAAGATAGATGTGATAATTAACTTATATGCTAATACAATATTTATGATAATTTTATGTAAAGTTATGGATAATGATATCAATGCTATATTTTAGTACTTATTTATAGCTATAATTTTGTGTTTGCTAAAGTTGCATTTATTATTTCTAAAGTTGTATTTATTCTCTTTAAAGTTATAGTTGGGTTCATTTTATTTTTCCTTTCTTCTTTTTTTTATTCAGATTGGATAGGTTTTTCAATAACCATTGCAGACTGCACACATTAGTAGATCTCATGAAAGATTTTTCTGATGAGCAAGTTAAATCTATTGTTGAAATTGGATTTGGTGGTTTGTTGGATTTAAAGTTAACTAGAACTGTTACAACTTTACTTCCTTGGTTGGTTTGATCATTTTGATCCTGTTAGTCGGATGTTTTCTATAAGTCCTGGGAAGGAATTTGTTATTTCTCCCTATGATGTTTATGATGTATTTGAGTTACCTTTGAATAATGGGATGGATGTTGTAGAGAGTACTAGGAGTACTGATCTTCAATTGAAACAAGAATGGAGGAGTATGCATGTTTGATGTTGCTGGTAGTGCAGGCATACCTTTACATAAATTAGAGGCTATTATTGTTTGTTAAAGGATGGTGGGGAGTTATTTAAGAGACTATTTGTGATGGTTGCTTTTGCTACCTTTTTAGCACCTGTTGCAAATAGAACTGCTGATTTAAGTTTTGTTAAAGCTCTTGAAAATGTTGATGAAATTAAGGATTTCAATTGGTGTAAATATGTTCATGAAAGGTTGTGTAGGGCCATTTTGAAGTATAAGAAAAGTAAGAGTCAAGACAGTGTTGGTGGTTGTATTTTGTTGTTGGAGGTTGTGTATTTTCAGCGTCTGAAGTTCAGGAATGAGGCACAAGATTGTAGTTTGCCTCTTATCAAACACTGGATTGATAAGAAAATTATTGATAGGGTGAAAAAAGAAGTTGGGGCTAAGTCCTTTGGTTATGGTATTTTGGATACTACTACATACCCTATAACTTAGAATTTTTTGTTCAAAGATCAGTTGCCTCTTCGAATTGCACCTGAAAAAGCTAAGCAAACTGAAGTTTCTCAAGTTGACAATGCTGATGATGCATCACTAGGAAAAGGATCATTAAGTTTGATGTTCCTGATAGTATGACATCTGATGAAGAAATTCACTCTGTTGCTACTGATGTAAGTTAAAAGTTGCACTTATTAATGCTAAAGTTATACTTTTTATGTTAAAAGTTATACTTACTGTAGCTAAAGTTATCTTTCTAATTATTCACTTATTATTTTTCAGGCTATTCATGAGCAATTTTTGTTGATGAAGAGGAATATGGAAGTTGTTACAAACTATCATTTGAAGAAGGTTGAAAGTTTAAAGAAGCATGATGTGGCTCGTGCTTCTGGTAATTCATCTCCTGTCTTGCAAAGTTAGGATTATGATCCAAGAATTTTTGAGATTGTTGATGAAATTGTTGATAATGTGTTATCAGTGAAGAAATTGCCTAGAGGTATTTCAAATATTGCTTGTGATGTGAATGTCGGGGGTGGGGAGAATGGTGGAAGGGTGGAAAATGTTCCGGGGGGTGATTTTGTTAATAATATTGATCAGAATGTGATTGAAAAGATTGACCTGGAGTATGGTGAAAGTTCTTTCTCATCTATAATTATGAATGCTTTGGGTAATGGTAAGGCGAAAATATCTGTTGGATATGGGCCATGTGATGTTGATGTTGAGTTTGTTGGACATGTGATGAAAAGTAATAAGAAGTCTTTGAAAAATTTACCAAAGTTGTATCAGGAGATTTCTGATTATTGCTTCTTAAATGATATTCAAGTGTTGAAACAGTAAGTTATTTATATTTTAGTTAAAGTTATATTTTTTTTGCTTAAAGTTATGTTTTTATTTCTTAAAGTTATTGTTTGTTTGTTTTTTTTTTTTTTTTTTTTTTTTTTTACTGGTTTTTGTTTATTTAGGGAGTGTTTGGTGTGGTTTGATTTTACTCATACTGTTCCAAATTTGGAGATTTTCCAATCTGTTATTGAGTGTTGGGCAATGTTGTTGAATGAGAATGAAAGAATGCGCGACGGAGGTCCTAAAAAATTCTGTTCTGGTGTTGAATGCAGTGTAAGTTTTATGTAAAGCTATATGTATTTTTCTTTTAATTGATGTTTGTATGGTTAATTCTTATGGATTTCTTTTTGTCTTATTGTTATTTAGGCTAACTTGGTAAAGCTTTGGGATGATGAAAATGATATTGATGTTATGAATCAACTTCAAGTTTGTTGGAAGGAATGGATTCAAGTCACAAACAAAAATTTTGATATCAGTGTTGTTGATTTGGTAATAATTATTTCTACTGTTGTGTATTTTAATTCACATGTGTCATCATTTTTTTTATTTCTAATTCTCTGTATTTTAAATTACAAATGATAGGTTTTTGTTCCTATTTATGCGTATCACCACTTATGGGTTTTTGCGTTGAATATGAAGAAAAAAACCATGCAATTATTGGACAATTTGGTTTATAAAGAAGCTACTATGGAAACAATTAAGCATTTGTCTGTAATATTTGTAATTGTTTAAATTATTGTTAAAGTTATACTTGTTTTTGTAAGAGTTACGCTTATTTTGGTTAAAGTTACATTTGTTTTATTATATGTTTAATTATTGTACTTTGTTCTTCCTTTTGTAGTGTTATCATTTGAGCACATTATTCAATAGTCTTGGTCATCTTGAATTGAAGTTGGAGATTATGCAATGGAGGAGGTGATGTTCAGTTGGAAGAATAATAAAGGATATGATCAATATTGTGGAATATATTCTATGATGTGTATGTTGTTGTTTGAAGGTGCTACTTTTAGTTGTGATGCGTTGATGCGGGTTAGTTGCAATTTTTTTAGTTAATTTTTTGTTTTTTTTTTTTTTTTTTTTTTACTGTGATTACATGATACTAATATATATAGTTCTTAAATACAACCAAGTTCAAGAGTTGTACTTCGAGCAGAGATATATGCAACACTGGTACTGTCTGATATGAATGATGGCAGACAATTGGTGTTGAATTCTTTATGCAATTTTAATTCGCGTCGATTGGAGTTAGCACCTGAATTTGCTAAAAGGAGAAAGCTGATGATGCAACAAAAAAGGAAAGATGAAAACGCGGCAAAAAAAACGAGTAAAGAAGTCAAAAAGAAAGATGCCAATAAGAAAGAAAAATTTGCCAAGGGGAAGTAAATATTTTATTAGCAACAGTAGGATTTGTTAAGGGGAAGCTAATGTAGTTAGAACTTACAATAATTTCATGCTTTTGTAAGTAAATACTGATGCTTTTTTTATGTCTATTTTCTAATTGGAAGTCTTTTTTTTGTAAAAAGAAGTTAAGGATACTGAATCAAAATTATTATAACAGTTATGGTATTTTTATTAAAAGTTATGGATAATGCAAATTAAAGTTAAGGATACTATTATAATAGTTATAGTAATTCTACTGAAAGTTATAGTTTTTTTTTAGCAAAAGTCATCATTACTTATACAATAAAAAAAGATCAATATATTATATTTAAAAGTTCAAGAATAATACAATAGTCTCAAATAGTCTAAGATCAATGAATATAGTTCAAAATTCAAGAACAATGTATCTAACATCAATTAAAATAGTCTCAAATTAGGGGTTATAGCTCCAAAGTCAAGTGGTGGTACTGCAGTCTTCTTTCTTTTCTTCTCTAGTGGTCCTCGTGGCCTTTTGTTCCTTCCTTTTGTTGTTGTACATTCAGGATCTGATATAAGAGGTGCCTCAGTTGTTGTACTTGATGATGTAGCTTGGTTAGTCTCTTCTTCAGTAGCTTGATTAGTCTCTACTTCAATAGCTTGGTTAGTCTCTACTTCAATAGCTTGGTTAGTCTCTACTTCAATAGCTTGGTTAGTCTATGCTTCAATAGCTTGGTTAGTCTATGCTTCAATAGCTTGGTTAGTCTCTACTTCAGTATTTTGGTTGGTCTCTGCTTCAATAGCTTGGTTAGTCTCTGCTTTAGTAGTGTCGTTGATGGTTGTTAGTAGTTCTTCAGCAAGAGAAAGGTTAGCAGCATAACTGTCCTTGATAAGCGTTCTTGCCTCTTCATTCGATTGACTTTTCAATATTAAATTATAGAATTTTCTAGCCATGGTTTGACGCCAAGGTGTTTATTAATGTTGTTCAGGTTCTTCATTGTCACGTCTTTCCCAAATTGATGATTTTGCAAACTTTGTCCATCTCTTCTTTATATACTGATTTGGTATTCTCATCACTGAATGTAAGTGTAATATTCTGATGCAGTGGTAACATAACCATCCAGAAGCTTCAAAATTCTTGCAAGTGCATTTAACTTGGTTGCTGTCAAATTCAAAAGTGACTTTTTGTTGCGACCAAGGTTCACTTTTAATTGCCACTAAATAGAACAAGGTACTACCATTTTGCCAAAGCAATTTTGTGGTAGTTGCAATGGAATACCCAAATTCTTCTTCGAAATCTGTGAATAAAGACAAAGTGTAGATTTCTGATGCATGTTTCAGCAGACCAGATAATGGTATTGCTTGTTTCGGGGTTTTCTGATGTCCTGCGGGAGAGTTACAATTCCGAGACTGGAACCGGACGCCTGTACCTGCAAAACAAACGGATGCTCCGGATGATTAGAGATCCGCCTCCGACGGTCAAGTTAGTACTTGATTAAGGAGTAATTAATGCGGAAATTAAAGTGATTGGGTCTCTCTAGGTGAGAGTGTTTAATGTGTGTAATCTGCGTTATCTCCCTTAATGAGGATTAAGGGAGGTATTTATAACCTCGGGAAACGTGCCAATCTAGGTTTAGGTTAACCTTGGGCTGATTGGGCTTCCCTCGGAGGTTGGGCCTAGGTGACCGGCTTCTCCATTAGGCATGGAGTATGCCACGTGTCATGACATAATAAGTCCAGGGTGGACGAATAAGCGTGTGCCACGTGGCAAGCCCTGAGAGGTCCAACTGGGGGACACTTGGCAGGACCTGATTGGCCCACGTGGCGCATTCCGATTGGTGGGAGCAAAATCCCCTAATCATTTGCCCCTCACAGGTGGCACGTGACTGGTCACGTGTTACCTGTGACAGGTGTCGCCCTGTAACAGGCGACGGCCTGCTACAGGTGTCACTCGGCGAGAGGCCGAGAGATTCTCCCGCCAAAATTTTGAAATTCTGGAAGTGACCCTTCGCCTTATCACTTCGCCTATATAAAGGAGTGTTGACTTCGGTCATTTTCACACTTGAAAACTTTGTGAGAGAACATTCGGACCCCTGAACTTGCTCTGACATTTTGGTCCCTTTCGGCCTACCGCCTGCTCTGACAAGCCGACTGCAAAGGATTTTCAGAACTTCATCAATCGTCACTCGTTCAGGTAACCGTCGGTTCTCTTACTCTTAATTTTCTCTTTACTTTATTCTTTTTGAAATGGCACCACGGAAGCACACGACTCGACCTAGGTTAGTGATCAGCCGGTCACCGGGGACGGCTGAATCTAGGACTAGGAGTGCCGCCTGCCCTTTTCTGGACCCATCTTTGCCCTTTATACAAAGTCCGACTGTGTCTGTGTCTATGCAGAGCATGATGGCCAGAACAAAAAAGACTGCCAGGATCTCAAACTCAGACGGCTCCTCCCACAGGGTGCCGATTAGTGAAACATCTGACCAGGCGCCAGATGTGGAAGTGAAACAAAGCGGCTTGAAAGCCGGCAGTTCTGAGGGAGGAGTCAAAGTGACCCCTTCCCATTTTACAGTTGACAATTCTACATTCTCTCCTGCTCCTTTTAAAGGAGAGGAGGCGGGCCCCTCCGGGAGAGGGGAGGAGTCGTCCTATTCGGACTCGTCAGAGGACGATTCCGAGTCTAGCTCTTCTGGCCATGCTTCTCTGGACACAGAAGAGAAAAACAGTCGCCTACAAGAGGCGAGGCTTTCTCACGCAGTTGAGAAGGGGGACGATTGGGCGGAGCCATCCGCCTCTCACCGAGAGCAAAATACCCCCTACTACTGCACGGTACCTCGGGGCCGGATCACGGCCATGCAAGAGAAAGTGGGGAGCTTTATCGCAAACCACACAATGGGCCCCGGCTTTTTAGTGTTCGTGCCGGATCCAGAGGACACAGTCGTCTGGCCGGCTGGTACCAGTTATGATGGCGCCTGCTTTAGCTGCTACGAGGCGGCCATTAAGGCTGGGCTGCGCTTCCCACTACATCCGGCTGTTCAGCGGATCTTGGATGGGTATGAGTTGGGGTTATGGCAGTTAGCCCCGAACTCCTGGGTCAACGTACTCGGCTATGTGGCCGGGTGCGAACTGCACGGGGTGGAGCCGAACTTCGAGGCTTTCGCCCACATGAACTACCTCAGCCGGACCCCTAAGGCAGGCGGTACCGGCTGGTATCAATTGACGAGCCACAGGGGCTACCTTATGACGAGAGGTAAAGCAAACAAATGGAAGGACTGGCGGAGCACCTTCCTTATCATTGAGAGTTCAGACACAGAGCTGAACAAGCGCTTCAACAGGTGGAACAGGAATCCACCCCTTCTTGCAGGCGGCCGCAGCATGCCGCCTGTTCCCCCCAAGGCTAAGAAAGAGATCCTAGATAAAGGACTCTTCAAAGTAGAGTCGAAGGTGAACTCTACTTCAGGGGTACGAGAGCAAGTACCCCTGCACTGCGTCCCGAGCTTCAAATGGCTCTATGACGAGTACTTTTTGGCCGCCTGTGGCCTCAGCAGTCGGTGCTCAAGAGGTAGCCGGCCTGTCGAATACTCTGTTGTTCCGTGCATTTCTTGTTATGACTTTTATTAACTTTGCTATTTGTTTTTGCAGCGGACGCCATGAGCAAAATTACCGCCTCCAAGACTGCGGCGGCCATGTTGCGGGCCTCCATCATGCAACAGTCTTCAACCGACTCCCCCAACAAGGGGGCACCCTTGGTGGGCTTCGAACCTTTCACCCTCTTTTTGGAGTTGTGTTTATGCATATACTGACTCTTTTCTTCTTTTTTAGACGGGCGCTCCAAGAGCTTCTTCTTCCCAACAGCCGGACCCCAAGGCCCGGAGGACGACTGTTGCGAGCTCTCCTAGTTCTGCCAGGAAACATGCGGCGGCTGAGAAACAGCCGGCCACTTCTTCTAAAACTCCAGCTGGGCCACCTAGAAGTATGAAATTGTCCTTGTAAACTTTAGACTTGCTCCCTCCTTTACTAGGTCTAATCCGTTTGTTTATGCTTGATGCAGCCGGCCCTCAGGAGCCTGACTTGGTCGAAGTGGCCAAGTCTATGATCAAGGCTGTACCTCCAGCTGAAAGGGAGGCGGTCAGGGGTGTCGGCACCCTTGACCTAGACGGGATTGCAGGGGTCCTTGCTGAGGTATACTTAGCATATTTTTGAGTATTTGAATTCCAGGACGCCTGTTTTCTTTTTTGTTTGGAAACTAACGTCTGTTCCCCTTTTTACTTAGGCCCTGCTCCGAGTGAACGGCCTTCGCAAGCCGCTTGACCGGAAGAAAAAAGAGGTAAAGGCTGCAAAAGCTATGGCCGCCTCTGACTGTGATAAGGCAATGTTTCAAATTGCCCAAAATGAAGTTCTGACAATTGATATTCTTTATTATCAGGCGCAGGCTACCGCCGCTATCCGGGTTCAGTTAGAGGCGGCCCAGAAGAGGAATAGCGAGCTGGAGGCGACCATCAACAACCTCAAGACCGAGCTGAGACCTCTTCGCCAAAAGATGTCCTCATACGAAACCTTGGAGAAATCCTTGGCGAGCGTAAAGGAACGCCTGGTGACCCAGGAGAAGAGTCTTACTCAGGAGCTCTCGGAAAAGGCCGAGCAAGAAAAGAAAGAGCTAGTCCGGGAGATGATGGAAGACTCTGCTCAAATCCAGCGCATAACTTGGGCCGCCTCTTCCCCAATGCCGACTTTGCCTCCTGGGAAAAAACGTACCGCCAGTGTTCTGATAGATATAATCAAGAGATCCTGGCGGCTGCTGAGGAAGAGGCGTTGGAGGAGGAGGAGCAGCCGGTAGTGGCGCTTGTGCCGCTTGGGGGTAATGCATCGAAGAAGGATGCAGCTGAAGCCGAGTCCAGCAAAAAGAGTGCTGACCAGGCGGCAGCTGCTAACATTGAAGATCTGCCCCCTTCATAAGCTTTATGTCTTCTTTCCCCGGCCTGCGTGCCGTTTGTTTGTATTTACCCGGCCAAGGGGCCGGGGCTCTGAATATTTTGCCGGTCTTTAATGACCGGCTTCCTTTTAATGAATATTTTTGTTTTGCTTCAAATTTGTTTAAGTATTGAATATTCTGATATCCAATTGTACACTATACCGACTGTTTTACATGGCCGATAGTTGCAGACAGGTACGGATAGTTAGTCACGCCGCCTATGCCCCTGGACGACTGGTTGTCTGTTTTCAGGCTAGACGATCAGTCGGCCATTTATCCAATCGGTATTCGAACCATTTTAAAGACTGGATCCCCTTTAGGCAGGCGGTTCTGTCATTTGTAAAATTAACCTAGTAGGAAAGTGGTTTCCTACTTGTCATGTTTTTAGGCTAGAGACTTTAGGCCGTCTAGGCCGACTGTTCCCCGCCATATTTAATCTAGTGTCAACAGGTGCTGTATGAACACCTTTTTAGTTTCATACTAAATTTTTAAGGAGTGACCAAGTAAACATGATTGTTACCTAGTCGCCAAGTAACTGAGTAGTAGAGGTATCAAGCGGTGGGTACCGGTTGTTCCCCTTTATTCGCCAATGTTTGTTGGCTTTTAACTCATAGGTTGTTAATGTAGCAGGAGTAGTGGTTGAGAGCCCCTGTTTGCTAAAAACAGGCGGACGACTCATACCTTTTAGGCTCCATACTAAGTTTGAGAGAGTGACTATGAGTTAACTTTGGTGTTACTCAGTCGCCGTCACTCCTTCTTGAGTAGTAAAGGTACCAGGCGGCGGAGGCCGGCTGAACCTTTTGATTCGCCAATGTTTGTTGGCTATTAACTCAAGAGGTACCCCCTGCATTTATCCCAAGTAATACAGGCGGTCATCTGACTCAGATGTCAACTGCTACCACTGGTTTGGTTAGTGATAGAGTTATCCTTGTCTCAAAAACGGCTACGTGGTTGCCCTTGGGGACAGTCGTATAGGTGCCGTGTAATTAGTTTATTGAGCAATGTTCCACCCAAAAGGGAGCTGCTCTCTGCGACGAATTTCATCCGGAGGGATGCCGCCGGACGCCTGCTATGATGTTGGGACAGGTCGTATTAGTTTTGAAGATTGGATCAGTTGGCTTGGCGCCTGGTCTGATCATTCGGCCTGTGGCCTTGGTTAGTCCTTTGGTGGACGCAGATGCTAAGTAAGAGGAGGGCAGCTTCCTATTTAGGCACAGGGTCGGCCAGGCCACCATAATTTTTTAGCTAAGTATAGGAGGGTGGTCGTCTGTCTTGGAATCGACTGTATGTCCAGACGGCATGCCCCTATGGTGATAGAGTAAAATA